GTGAAGTCCCGGAATAAGGTGCTGTCAAGTGAGGTGAAGACCCTCAGGAGCCAGATGGGGACCCTGGTGGAGAAAGGCCGGCATGACGACGAGCTCATCGACGCCCTCATGGTAATGCCCTGCCGCTCAGGCCCGGTGACAGCCAGGGCCCGGTCCCTCCAACATGGGCCCCCCACCCTGCCTGGAAGCCCGTGACCCAGCCCCAGCCAGAGTGAGCCCTCGCTTACCCCAGAGGCCACCAGCGTCATCTAGAAGCTCATGGCCTCACTTGGGCATCAGCTGCAAAGCCACGCCCCAGGGACCGGAGCAGCTCAGAGGCTGCCCGAGCATGCATAGATGTCATGTGGTGTGGTGTTGGTCCTGGCTGTGACGTGTTAGAGCCTGGCACCAGCCGCTGGACCTGTGGACCCCAGAGGAGGACGAAGTGGGCACGGGGGAAGGAGATGGGAGTACGCCCTGGGTCATCTTTCCATCAAGGAATGGAAGGGACAACTGAGGGGCCAGTACAAATTCTTGTCCGGGTGACAGCATACCGCCCCTCCGGGCACTTGGGGTGCATGTGGTTCACAATGGTTAGTCGCCAAGACAACCCCTAGGGTCATCTGTTCTAATCCCATTTCACACATGGGGAAACTAAGACTCCAATTAGTTAGCTAAGTCGTCCAAGACCATACAACTGAGTTCAAACCAGGTTGCTCTGACCGTAAGGCCTGCCTTGATTATCAAGGCCACACCGCTTTCCTGACCCTAGCCTGGACTTTTCTTTCTAGGACCTGCAGTGCCCCAGGGTTTTGAATCCCAAATTGTGCCCCAGGCCCCTGGGGTGGCCCTGCCTGGCTTGGCTGGGGGGCACGGGGTGGTAAGCGGAGCACAGCAGACCCGCCTCTGCTGACACCTCCCTGGGTGACCCTAGACCGGTGGCACCCCCTCTCTGAGCCTCAGCTCCCAGTTTTTATTTTTTTTAGCTATTTTTAAAAGATTTTATTTATTTATTTGACAGAGAGAGAGATAATGAGAGCAGGAACACAAGCAGGGGGAGTGGGAGAGGGAGAAAGAAGCAGGCTTCCCGCCGAGCAGGGAGCCCGATGCGGGGCTCGATCCCAGGACCCCGGGATCATGACCTGAGCTGAAGGCAGACGTTTAACGACGGAGCCACCCAGGTGTCTCAGCTCCCAGTTTTTAAATAAGGTGTGGAGCTGCATGTCCTCAGTGGTTGCTGTGTGCCACCATTCTGTGTTACTGCAGATGGCATGATGAAAGCTGCAGACAAGCCCCAGCTTGGCCATCCACCAGCACTGTGCCCTTGGGCTCTCTGGGCCTCAGTTCCCTCCGCATTCCCAATCACTGACCTGCCCTTCCTGTTGGCCTTCGGGTGAAGCCTCCAGCCCACTAGTCTCCTGGGGGCATCTGCAGGAGAGGGGGCCTCAGTCAGGTGCTGAGGGATCCCTGGCAGGGGGTCCAGGGACTGCCTTCAAGGCTATCTCCCAGCAGAGGGATAGGGTTTCTTTTTCCCAGAATATCTCCCCCACTCCACTGGCAGGGGGCCCACCATCTGAGCTGCTGTCTGCGTCCCGAGAGCCCCCTCAATGTCCTTCTTGGCCCAATATCAGAGAAGGAAGTTGAGGACAGGAAAAGGGCATGGTCCCCACCTCCCTGGTGAGTCCCGCAAGGGCAGGCAAGGGAAGTTCTCCTCCTGCTTCTCAAAGAAACAGGTAGGGTCCCACTGTTAGGTTCCTGCAGCAGCAAGGAGTGCGTGAGAGAAGGCGGTCTTCCCTGTCCTGCCTTGCCCAGGGGTCATGGCTAACCTTGTCTGTCGTCTGCCCTCCTGCTTGGCCCCACAGGACCAGCTGAAGCAGCTCCAGGAGATCCTGGGCAGCCTGAGTCTGCAGGAGGAGAAGACCCGGGCGTCGCAGCGCCACCTGGACCAGCAGGTCAACAGTGAGGCTCAGCAGAGCATCAGCCTCATCACCCAGCTGCGGGCCATGGTGGCTGAGCGGGAGGCCAAGGTACAGCAGCTGGAGTTGGAGATTGGCCAACTCAGTGTGCAGGTGAGTAGGGTGCTGGCCTGGCCTGACATCCATTTCCAAGCCCTGGCAAGTCCATCTACCATCCAGACAAAGCTCAGCAACTTCCACTGCCGTCCACCTACCTTCACTCAGGCCACACTATGTCCTCCCTGGCTCCACTCTGCTCCCCGGCTTCCATGTGGCTTCCCACACATTCTCACGTACCTTTCCTCTCTTTCCTGATTGTCTCCCATCTCTGCACAAAACCTGTCTGTGGCTCCCAGTCACCCTTGGTCTCACTCAATCCTCAAGGGGCCAGGCTCCTTCCATCTCTGCCTCACCATCCCCAGCCGTGGCCCTCATCCTAACGATCCAAGATGGCGGCTACAATGCCAGGCTCTACATTCACATTCCAGGCAGTGGGATGGCCCAAAGGAAGCTGCACTCCAGCCAGCTTGCAAGGCCCCACGTGACGAGCTCTTGCTGCCACCCCGCCTCTCCTCTTCACCCCTCCCTTCGCCCCACACTCTGGCCACATGGCCACCGTTAAGCTCCTCACATAGCCCTGCTTTCTCCCCACTGCAGCTGTGCACGTGCCTGAAGCACGTGCCTTCCCTTTCCTCCCGCACCGCCACTGCCTGGCCAGGGGCCCCCAGCCTTTAGGTCTTACCAAGTCATGAGCTCCTCCTCCAGAGAGCCCCAGGGCCCCCAGGCTGTGTTCCATGCCCCTCCTGGGCACTCTCCTAACTCCCTGTGCATCCCCAAGACACACTTTTGGCACCCTGGGTGATCGTTTTCCTGCCCCCCATTAAGTCCTCTTCTCCTCTGGAGGCGGCGCACGCCTTGGTGCCTCACGGCCTGGCACGGGGCTGAGAGGGCCGGTATGGATGCTCATAAATGCTCACCTAATGAGGGGGCCTCCGAAGAGTTGGACCTTGACAGACGCCTTACCGGCACAGCCCGGGCTGCTGGGAGTCAGGCCCCGTGGGCTCTCTGTGGCTCCTTCCTGTGGTGGGGGTGCTCAGAGGGGAGGGGACTTGGTGACCTTGACAGGCACACAAGTCTCGCAGTGACAGAGAAGCCTCATAGCCAGGGAGACTGGTATCGCCTAAGGCATGTCACAGAGCAGCCCTGCCCTTTATTCCCAGGGATCCGTGGTCCCGTCAGAAGCATGGGAGCCCAGGAGCCTCTCAGCTCCAGCCTCAGGCTGGTGTTGGCTGGCGTTGGTGGTTTGTCTCTGAGCTGTCCATCCCCTGGGACCCCAGTGGCTGTGGTGGAAAATGCTGAAGTCCCCGAGGCTGAGGGGGAGCCCAGGGTTATGACAAAGGCCTGGGGACAGGGTGTGTGTGGCTGTGAGTGGGGACATTGCCTTGCAGCCCTGGCCCTGCTTGCCACTGGGAGGTGAAATCTGAAGGAGCACATGGGAACATTCCAGTATTTTCACCTCACCACTGTCCTGGCTCCAGGCACACAAAAGGGAAGCACTTCTTACCTCGGAGATCATCAGCCGACTGGGGACCAGGCATCACCCAGCAGACAGTTGAGGCATGCATCTCAGGACGGGTGGAGCTGGGAGACATGCCAGGTTGTCTGGGGCTCACACCAGCTGTCCACCCCTGGTGGCCTGACCCCCTGGTGGGGGTCCTCCGGGGCTCCTTCTTCAATGCGGCCTCTCCAGCTATCCGGAAGGAGGAGGTGGGAGGAGGGAAGGGGGCCTGGTAAGCCCAGCCTCCCCCCTAGACTGCTGGCCCTTGCTGAGGCCCTGGCAACCTCTATGGCTCTGGGTGTCTACTGAGTCCAAGTATCTCCAGCTGACAAAGGCAGCTGGCCTCAAGTCACACCTGGCATTGACCCTGCGTGGGGCGGGGGGCTGCCCTGAGAGGTGGGTCCACTCAAAGACATCAGTCTCTGATCTGGCCCGAATCAAAGGCCATGCTCTTCCCTTTGGGACCTGAATGTAGAACAGCTTCCTGGCCCAGTCACCACCTCGCGCGCCATGTAGCTCCCTTTCTGAAGAGAGGCATTATTAGATGTCATTATCATGCAAGGAGTGCCTTCCCCAAGCAGGCCTCGCTTTTCACTCCTCAAAAGAAGCCTCTTTCATGTCCCCTAAAAGCCCCGAACTCCAGCCAAGGCCCCCTCCTGCCTTCTCCAGGCCTCTGAGCCAAAGCGCTGAGAATCGAACTCACGTCTGTTCCCTACAGTATCTTCAGAATAAAGAAGTGGGCAAGGGCTCCAGTGGGACTGAGGTCAACCCCGCCTACACCAAGTTCCTGGAGGACCCTGGCCAGCCCAAGTCTCCAGCCTCAGCAGGCGATCACGTTGGCAGGCTTGGATCTTCTCGGTAAGAAAAAAAAAGGGGATAGAGGGGTTGGAAAGTGAATATTAATTATTCAGAAGAAAGGCTGCCTCTGCTCGGAAGCCACGGGTGCAATTTTAAGATGACTGTGGCGTTGTCCTTCCAAAATGTGGGCCTCTCGTATTCCATTAGCCCTGCATCTGCATGGAGGAGCCAGTTAGGCCCAGATAGTATTTCTTTTTTTTTTTTTTAAAGATTTATTTATTTATTTTTTGAGAGAGTGAGAATGAGAGAGAGAGAGAGATAGTACATGAGAGGGGGGAGGGTCAGAGGGAGAAGCAGGCTCCTCGCTGAGCAGGGAGCCCGATGCGGGACTCGATCCCGGGACTCCAGGATCATGACCTGAGCCGAAGGCAGTCGCCCAACCGACTGAGCCACCCAGGCGCCCCCAGATAGTATTTCTGCAAGACATCTGGTTACAGCTCCCTGTAATATCCTCTCTGAGCTGGCCTTGAAACACACCTGTTTCTAGGACTCTCAAACAGCCCCGTCTTGGATTGCTCGAGGCTCTCCTGGTTCTGTCTCGTTTTGAGCCAGCAAGAGTTCTAGAAAGAAGGGCAGCAAATCTGCAGGACTGCCTGGCCAGGGTTGCTACCAGGGCCAGCACTGGCCACCTCCTCGGGCTCCCCAGATCCCTGCTGGCCTCGGCTCTCCTCCCAGGCCGGGCCCAGCCTGCCTTTCTGTGGTGATGAGCCCCTTCTGCCTTCACACAGCTCCGTGACCAGCCTGGGCCACACGCTGGTGGAATCTGCTCTCACGTGGCCTTCTCTGCCCAGTCCTCATGGGGCCTCACCCAGGTATGAACCCAGGACCTCAGGGCCCTCACAGTCCTTCCCACCCTGAATGCTCAGACAGTACTGCCATCCCATTAAAAGGAGAGGAAACTGAGGCCAGGCCAAATCCAGGGACTCTTCCAAGTTTGCATAAGGACATAGAGGATCAGGGAGGCCCAGTGCCTTATCCAAGTTAATAGGGGAAGTGGCTACTGAACTAGAGTCTTGGCCTCTGGCTTGCAGTCTAATGTCCCTTCCTGCTACCACAGAGTTAACACAAGGAAACTTCCAGGGCCTAGAGCCCAGCTCCTTTCCTTGTCTTCTCTTCCCCACTGAGAATCAGTCTCTAGGGGGAGAATTTCATGTCATATGGGTTCCCACTTTAAGTCACTGATATCCCCTCAGCTCTCTGGCCCCCTCTTTGTTGTTAGAATCAAGCCCAGGGCTTAAATGGGCCTTTTGTTCTTCCTGCCAGCTCACAGACAAATGGTGGCTTTGTCCTGTCTCTGAGCCCTGTCCTGAGCCCTGCCCACTGTCCACTGGAGCCATGCTCCTGCTGTCAGCCCCCATCCCCATCCCTCAGGCAGGTCAGCTCAGGTTCCCGGCCAGGCCTCTGAGTGGCGCGAGTCCGTGTTCGACTTGCTATATGGCTCCAGGCATTGATCCTCTCTGGGATGCTGCTTCCCAAGGAGGGCCTAAGACACTTCTGGCCTGACATTTGGCAGCACAAGGGACGTTGGGCCAAGGCCAGCCCTGCAGCTGCCCCACCCATCCATCAGCCTGGGGTCACAAGGGCATTTGGGGGAGAGTGGGCTGCTCTGAGCCACAAGGGCGCACGCCACACTTCCAGAAGTGGGAGGCCTCCTGGCACCCCTGGGAGAATGGACAGGCTCTGTCTCTCTGAGGTTTGAGTCACAGTAGTGGGAGCAGGAAGAGGGCCACGATGGTCCTCAAGACCCCTTCCAGGCCCGTGGGTCTATGACCTGTGCGCTCCACAGGGAAGCAGGACCAGCTGTGCTCCTCAGCTGTCCAGACTGCTGGTTCTCAAGCTCCTGTCCCGCACACTACACAAGTGCTTCCTGAAGTCAACCACGCACGGGCCTGACCCCCACAGAACATACAGTCCTCTTCCCCCAGTGATAGCACCGGCGGGAGCCACCCCAGAGAGGGGGTCTGTTGGGGCTGGCATGGTGACTGTGATGGGGTGACTGGGAGGGGAGAGCCCCTTTCTTCTGCAGCTCCCCCTCTTCTCCCTCCCCCCACCCAATGAGCAAATCGTGGAGGTGAGTTGACCAGAGCTTTGCCGGAGCACGCAGGCTCTGATTCGGCAGGTCTGGATCCGCAGCCACTGACTCAGAGACTATACTCTGAGCAGCAAGGCCTTAAAGTGTATTTAGGTGTCAGAACACAGAGGGGTCTGCTGTCCTCAGGCCCATCTCAGCCAACTCCCTCCGTGTTCAGAGGGAGGACCCAGGCCCAGACTCCAGACCAAATTAGCCTCTGGTCTCACATGCCCCAGCCCAGCTCTCCGTGTGTCCTGTGATGCTAGGAAAGCAAACCCAGGGCCCCCAGGGTCTCAGGGGGAGAGGTGGGGGCAAAGCAGAGAGCAGCTTGGGACTCACACATGGGCTCTGGGGGTTTGGTCGGGGGGCAGAGTTCCCCTTCTGTCTGGGCTCCAGCCAGCAGGTAAGGGGCTAGTAGGCAGACCCAGTGGTAAGGAGGAAAGCGGGGACCGGCTAGATCAGCACTGAAGAAAACTGACCAAGTCACAAAGCCAAGTGTCCAGGAAAGTGGGCTGAGCGTGGGGCCAAGCCAGGAGACGACGGAGGCTGGGGTAGGCTGACAGGGAGACAGAGGCGAGGCCCACCTAAAAATGGGCAGGGTGGCCAGGCCCCCGGCCACACAGGAACCCGGGGCACCCTAGGCCCTCAAGGGCCAAATTCCAGAGCAGCCAGCCCAATTCCAGGCCCCTACAGGGACTGGATGGACAGAGGTACTGATGCAGCTCTAGCCTGGGTGGGGTCTGGCTGTGCAGCCAGCTAAGTGAGGTCTAGAGACTTCAACAAGCACAGGAATGGTGGACTGAGAAGAAGCCAGAGGAGGAGGACCAGCAGGGCTAGGAAGGACCGGGTTGGCTGCCTTCTCTGAGGCTGCCTCTGAGGCTCCCTGAATGTTCTCCTAATCCTTCCCACCATCACAAGTAAGTGTATGTCTCCTGATAACCCCTCAAATGACCTCTGACCTCTGACCTCTGCCCCACCCTGGTCTGCAGGTTCTCAGACTCCCCTGAACAGAAAGGCTGGCAGGCACAGGTGACAGAGTTCAAGGCCCTCTGGCAGGCCGCTGAAGTGGAGCGTGACCGGCTTACCGAGTTTGTCACTGTCCTGCAGAAACGGTAACACATGGCACCCAGGGACATGCTCTCATGGGCCTGTGTGGGCTGAGGGTAGGAGAGCCTGGCTCAAGGGCATGGTTCTTGGGCAGGGACCCGGTCTCATCCATGACTGGGTCCGCCTTCCTGGAGAGCTCGGCTTCCACGGTGTCGGTCCAGGGTATTTCCAGTCACCACTCGGGTGCTCACCTAGGTGTCCCACAGCCTTGGGGCCCTCTTGTCACACTTGTGGTTTGCCCTGTCCTACATGTATTCAATGGGACTGTTGCATCCATGAGGACATGAGGTGGGAGTCTCAGGGGAGAGGCTCTCTGGAGTAGTTAAAGCAGTCAGATCAGTCCACAAATAATTAAAATCTCTGATGAACACGGCACCTTCTTCAGGGCACTCGGGGAGTTGGTGGGAAGACAAAGGCTAGAAAAGGACTTCGGAATTACAAAGGGCAAGAGAGTTGCTCAGAGATGGCAGCTGAGACTTCTTTGGGAGGGGGAGGGAAGCATGTGGTCCAAGGCAGTGGGCCAGGAGGCATAGTTTTCTCCAAGGGGCTGTTGACAGACTTCCATTCAGATAAATCATTGCTCCTCGCTCAAGTGGCCCTTTTGGCAAGAATTGCAGGTACTCAGGCCAACGCATGGCCCAACCACATGACCTCCACACTGAAAAATATAAAGGACACCACTGAGTTCCTGCCCTACCGGGGCATGCGGCCAGGGCTCTTTGGTGACAGGCAGTAGAAACCAATTCTGGCTAAGTTAAGGGAAAGGCAGATTTTGGTAGGTGTTGGCCGACTTCAAGGGGCGGGGCAGGAGAGGAGCCCAAGGAAGTCTGGGAATCTTGGGGGCTAGATGCGGTAGCAGGAGCCCTTGGCGGTCTCTCCTGGGGCGCTGGCCCAATGGCTTCCACTTCCTGTGCCAGCACGTTCTGGGAAAGAAGGTCTAGCTGGCCTGGGTTGCTCACAGGTCCATCCCTGGACGTAGGCCAGGCACCTTGACTGGAAGTACCTGCAGGTGCTCATAGAATGGGGGAGGGGCAGCTTGCCAAAGGGAAAAACAGAGTACCGTTACCAAAGAAGGAGTGAGGGGTACTGAGAAGTGGCCAGTACCTAAGCAGTGAGAAGTGACCAGCTTTCAGTGTTTTTTTCCTTTTCATGTAATCCATGAAGAGGATATGAATTTCAGACATACTCAGAGAAAAGAGAAAAGTAACATTAATTCTTTTTCTGTAACTAAAATGTCGTGGATAGTACAAGCCTCTAGTCTACCAAATGGAAGAAACGTACTCCCATTTCCCTCGAGTGGCACTGAGTTTTGGGGGGTTTCGTGAACCAAGGTGACTCTGTTATGCATTGCTGTGTAACAAACCATTCCACGCTTCATGGCTTCAGACACGATGGTTTATTCTTTCTCGAGGTTCCGTGGGTTACCTCGGGGATTCGATTCCACAGAACGCCTCCATCACTCACATGGCCCGGTTCCGCGAGAAGCTTGGCAGAGGATGCCTCGGTTCTCCTTTACTGGTCTCTCTCTGCCCGTGTAATTTCCTCTTCCAGGGCCTCCCTGTGCAGAGCTGGGATTCGTGTGAGGCAAGCAAGGCACTCACTATGAGTCACGTGTGTGTGCTTTTCTCTTAGCCTGACCTTTTTGGGTTCACTCTGCTGTTCTGTGTCATTTTAGGGTATGGGGGAGCTAGCTCTCGGAGGCTGTCCCAGGCCCATTAGCCAAGACACACAGCCTTTTCTGCTCTGGGGCATTGCTGTCCCGCAGCGCTCACACAAGGAAAGTATTCGGATGCCCGCAAACCTGTTGGGATTTCTCACCCCAAAGTAGAGGACCTGCCCTTCTCAGAGATCCCCAGTATCTACTCCCTTCTTTTTCTGGGGGGTCTGTTCCAGTCTCGCATCAGGGAAGCAGAGCCTCCCCCTCTCGTCCTCTGCCCTACCCCTTCCAGCGGCCTCAGGGCCCCCCAAGTCCCCAGTCCTGTGTCCTCATCCTAGTGGGACCGCTGTGCTCTGCGTGGGGTCCCCTCACCCCTCACCTGGTACAGTCCAACTAAAAACCACAGTAGAGCTCGTCTTTGTTTCCCTTCTCTCAAGGCCTGTGTCCGAGCATCTGTGCCTCTCATCCCGTTGTCCAGTGTCTGAGAACATTGCTGTGTCTTCTTTCTTATATTTTATCCACTTTTCTAGTTGTTTACAATAGGAGGGGCTAGTTCACTTAGTCTGCCATGACAGAGGTCACTAAACATGTCTCTTTTTGAAAAGCATATGATTGGCTTTATTTTTATTTTTTTTAAAGATTTAATTTATTTATTTGAGAGAGAGAGAGAGAGAGAATGCATGCGTGAGAGAAGGGGGAGGGGCAGAGGGGGAAGGAGAGAGAGAATCCCAAGCAGACTCCCCCTGAGCTTGGAGCCCGACCTGGGCTGGATACAGGGCTCGATCCCACAACCCTGAGGTCATGACCTGAGCTGAAACCAAGTCAGACACTTAACCGACCAAGCCTTAACTGACCGAGCCACCCAGGCACCCCTTGGCTTTGTTTTGAAACTCATTCTGAGACTTGGTGTTTGAGGAGGAGAGTTTAATCCACTTTTTGTAATATTTGGAAATATTTTGATCATCTCAATTAATATTTTCTACTTGCCATGATTTTTCTGCTCCTTTTTCTCTGTTGGCTAGGTCAGGTTTTATCTTTTCTATTGGTTAGGTCAGGTTTTATCTCCCTCTCTGACATGCAAGCTTGGAAGTTATACATTCTATCTCTATCCTTTTAGTGGTTACCTATAACTTTTAACATAGAGTTCAGCAAGTCTAAAGTCTGTAGATTTCTTTATTATCCCTTTGATAATAAAAATCTCATGACCCCGAGATCAAGAGTCACATGCTTCTCCAGCCAGGTGCCCCAATATGTTTACAATGTTTAACTCTGATTCCCCTACTTGTGTCTTTCATGTCACTGGTTTCTAATATTTCTCTAATATTGCATTCTTCTTTCTAAACCCTCTGAAATTAACCCTCCAAATTCATCTTTTAAAAAATTAGTCAGTATTCATTTACTTTGGCCAACATACTTAAAAATGTCTTCCCTCACTCTTGCTTCTTGCATCTCAATCTCCCTTCTGGGTTCAGCTTCCTTCTTACTGAAGGGCATCCTTCAGTTCAGCGAGACCATGTGGATGGTAAACTCCCCGAGTCTTTGTTTACTCTGGAATCTTTATTTTGCCTTTCTCTTGAAGGAGAATTTCATTTGGTGTAGAATTCTAGATGGTCAGGTACTTTCTCTCAGCCCTGGGACGCTATGATAGCTCGCGCGTTGTCTTTTTTTTTTTTTTAAAGATTTTATTTATTTATTTGACAGAGATAGAGAGAGAGAGCACAAGTGGGCAGAGAGGCAGGCAGAGGGAGAGGGAGAAGCAGGCTCTCCGCCGAGCAGGGAGCCCGATGCGGGACTCGATCCCGGGACTCCAGGATCATGACCTGAGCCGAAGGCAGTCGCTTAACCAACTGAGCCACCCAGGCACCCGATAGCTCATTGTCTTTGAGCGTCCGCTGTCACCAAAAAGAAATCTGCTATCAGTTTGGTTGTTGTTCCTTCATAGTTACGTCCTTTCTCTCTAGATGTTTTTTCAGATATTCCTTTAGGCTTTGGTATTTTGAAGTCTCACTGGGATGGGTCTAGGTACTTTATTTCATTGTATTTCTCCTACTTAGTAATTGGTGTGCTTTTTCATTCCGAGGACTTCAATCTATATATTGCCAAGGACATCTCTCAATATGTTGCCTCTCCCCATTGTTTCTCTTCTTTCCATCTGAAATGCCTAGTCAGCCCCTGTTAGACCTTCTTCTTCCTTCCGCTGCAGCTCTTAAACCTTTGTGATATTTTGGGCTGATAACTGCGTGGTTTCTTCAAATCTTCAAATCTGCTCCCTAAATCTCTTCAGTTGCACTTCATCTGCCACGAAACCTATTTTAATAACTGTATTTTTTTCATTTCTAGCAGTTCTTTTTTGTGTAAAAAAGAAGTCTTCTTCATGAAGACTTCTTGCTTTTCTCCTTGTAATAATTTTAAACTTACTTCATCCCTTTAGAGTTGCTCTATCATCTTCATTACTTAGGATCCTAAGTAATGTCTGTTGACTTCCCCTCACGGTGAATGATTTCTCTACGTGGTTTGTACTTTTGTGTTATTTCTGTGAACTTGTCTTCAGTGTTGTTGGTTTTTTGTCTTTTTCTGTGGGAGTTCTCAGGTTACGAAAGTGTTCCTATGGAATGGTTCTGCTTTTGTCTCTGTGGAGCTTTGGGGGTTTCAGTGGTCTCTGATTGGTACTTTATGCTAATTTATTGGTTTAGGGTTTCATGAGCACATGAGTGCTGGTCTTGGGTTTCAATTTTCTCATGATCGGTGCTTCCTCCCTCCCACACTTAAGGCCTTGGTTGACTACAGGTTTCCTTACCACTTCCCTGGTTTACAGATGTCTCAGTCTTTTATTGCAAACAGGGCACTCTTGAGACTTCCAGAACCATGCAGAGAGCTTCCTTGCAGCTTGCTGCCTAATAGGAGTCCAGGTTTACAGCTTCTGCCCTCACATTGGCATTGAAACTCCTGCTGTATGCGATTGGAGGTTTTATTAGTTTTTCTACTACAAACATATACTTACTTCTTGTGAAAAGCCTCCTTTTGCAACCTGCAGTTCCCCATTCCTCATAGAAAAGAACTGTCAGAACTTCTAAATGTTTTCTTTGCACATCCAAAAATGTATCTGCAAATATATGTATGTACGTGCATATACATATGTGCACATATATGCACCTACATTTTTATTACAAGATGGACTCACACTAAACACATCTTTACATTTTTGTGAGAGTATATCACTGTCAGTTTCTAAATGTGGAATCACTGGATCGAAGAATGTGTACATTTAAATGTTCACAAATAATGGTAAACTGCCCTTTTAACATGAATCCATTTGCATTCCCATTGATAATGTAAACTAGCTACCATTTCCCCATACCCTCACCTCTACAAAGTTTTATCAATGCATAACATGTTTGCCAAACTAATAAAGGAACACTATTATCTCAGTTGTTTTTATCTACTTTGCTATAACCAGAAGTGGGGCTGAGCACATTTTTCACATGTTTATAGCCTTTTACATGTTCTTTTCTGTTAAATATCTATTCAAACTGTGGCACATTTTTTAGGGGGTCATTTATATTTTTTCTTTACATCCATAAAGAGCTCTTTATGAATTATGTATATAGTATTATATATGCAGTATAATATCATGTATGTTTGTTTTTCATAAAGGTCTTATATCATTTATATTAAATTAATACCTGGGTAGGGGGACCTCCTTATCTGAGTATTTTTTATCAGTATCCCCACACTTAAAGTCCTTACAAAAGCAAAATTTTTACATGAAAATATTCACTAATGACTTGCCTTCCTTAATATCGTTCACTTTACACTGCCATTGGGTCAGTTTGGTCAGACTCTTGAAATATAATAAAAATCAATTACAAAGTAAAAAGGCAAAGTCAAAAAAAAATCTGGTCTGTCAGGAGGTTGATGCACATGGTGTGAGATAGCTGTTAGCGTCACCCCCAAAGCCACGACAAACCAGCACTGAGCTGAATTAGCCCAGTTAATGATCAAAGGAGAAAAAAATCTGTGAGAATGAAGACCGGTCAAAAGAGAATAATCAGAATCCCAATGGGAAGTCTTGAGTAGAAAGTGAAGCTGTGGAGGCCCGCGGAGGAGCAGCTCCAGACCAGGCCACACTCCAGGTGAAGAAGTGAAAATGAGTTGGCTCTGGTATGTGTTTCGAGGAAAAGCCATAGGGCCTGCTGATAAATTGGAAGCTGAAAACAGCAAGGAAGACAGAGAAGGCAAGAATGCCACCCGGGTATTTCGGCCAGACAACTACATGGGTGGTGGTGACATTTATCAAGATGAGGAAGGCACATTTTGGGAGAAGAAACCAAAAGTTTGGTTGTTCCTAAGTTTTGTCGGAATTCATAAAGTGCTTTAGCATTGATACGGTGTTTGCCGTCAGTTTCTTATTTCCCCTAGCACAAACAGATAACAAACCTCAACAAAATGCAAACATTGCTGAAATACACGACAGAAAAATGAAAGCCCCTCACCCCAGCTGACTAGTCAGTAGCTGCTGCACAACCCTGTTGTAGCTCATTGGCTGAGTTTCATTAGCACTGGTATCTATTTGTTTTTAAATTTTTAATCTGTTATAAAATTTTTAATTAGGTCATATTTAATGCATAATCTTCTGCTACTTAGTTCACTCAATAATATATCTCAGACATCCTCTTCAGGTCAGTACAGATTCTTTTTATGGTTAAGGAGTGTTTTTATTGTGTTAATCCACTATGATGTATTTGTCCTTTATTTACATAAATGGCATCATATTGTATGCATTCTTGCGACATTTGTTTTTCTTCTCCAATCCCATGATTTGGAGATCTGTGTTTATACATGTAGCTCTACCTCATTCTTTCTCATTGCCAGAGCAGTGCTGTCCAGCAGAACTTTCTGTGATGATGGAGGTGTTCTAGAGCTCTGCTGTCCAATGCAGTGGCTGTTAGCCACATGTGGCTTGGATCACTTGAAATGTGGCTGGTGTGAATGAAGAACTGAATTTTTAATTTTATTTCATTTTCATTAATTTCAACTGAAATAGCTACCTGTGGACATGAGGCTGGCAGCCACTGTGTTGAATGCTGTCATGTTCTATCACATTCCATGGTATGAATATTTACCACTTATTCTGTATTTCTTCTATCGATGGACCTGTAGATTTTTTTTTTTTTGCTTTTGCAAATAAAGTTTCAAGGAACATGCTTGAACAAGTCATGTTAGTAGCTGTATAACTGTGTTAGTATACAGCTTTGTGTTAGTAGTTGTATGCTGTTCAAAATTGTCACACGTTCTGCTCCTTCTTGACTCTGCACCGAAGTGGAAGACCACTTCCTCCAACACTATAAATTTCCAGACCTCCACTCTGATCTGCGTGTGTGTATGCAACCGTTTGTTTAGGTTAAATTTCAAGGAGTCCTGGCCTTCTAGCTGAGCCTTTTGTATCACAGAAGTCTGGAATGCCATACCTAGCCACAGGAGAGAACTTAGCCCCAGCCCCACTGAGATTAAACAAATCCTTCATGTGAAATGGCCGAATGGCAATGTCTTCAAGTCCCATGAGTTCATCATGGGCATACAGAAAATAATAATAAGTAGTAACAATAAATAATAATAAACAGAAAGCAATCACTAACTCCGAGAAAAGCAAAAAAAATAAATAAGAAAGAAAATGTCATCATTACCACGCTCCATGTCTGGGTAATTGTTCTAATGTAACTCCCTGTGGTAGACAAGATTTTGTCCCCCATGCCCTTCGCTCCCTGCTGTTGTGCCTGTGAATACTTTATGATATATGGCAAAAGGGGCTTTGCAGATGTAATTATAGTTATGGGCCCTAAAATAGGAAGATTATCCTGGATTACCAGGTGGGCCCAATCTAATCACTTGAGCTCTTAAAAGCAGAGAAATTTCTCCAGCTGGGGTCAGCCAGAGAAATGCTGCTGAGGAAGTCAGATAGATTCAAAGCATGCTAAGGGTGTCTGGCTGGCCTTGAAGATGGAGCGGGCCAAGTTGCCTCTAAAAGATGAAAATCACCCAGCCAGCAGCCAGCAGGAAACAGAGACCTCAGTCCTTCCACTGGGACTGAATTCTTTCAATAACCTGAGTGAGCCTGGAAGTGGATTCTCCCCCAGAACCTCCAGGTAAGAGCTCAGGTCAGCCAACACCTTGATTTTGGCTTTTGGAACCCCGGAGCAGACAAACCAACAGAGCCTGCTGGGCTTCTGACTTCCAGAACTGTGAGATAATAAATGTGTGTTGTTTTAAGCTGCTAAGTTTGGGCTAATTTGTTACAGCAGCAATAGAAAACTAATACACCCCCTACTATTAATTCAGCTGAAAAATGGTATGTAACTACATTAGGAGGTGGAGGGGTGATTCTGTTTGGTAAGGGAAGAGGGCTAAACTAAAGCTACATTCTCGTGTTGCATGACAGGAAGTCGAAAGATTATATTTAAGCCTTAAAAAATAGCAGTATGGGCATCTGTAGAAATATGGCAGTAAATATTCAAAGAAACAGCTAAAAGTGTTCTAAATGATTGCCTCTGGAGAGCCGGAAATGGGATTGGGGAGGAGTGTGAGTGGCTGGCAAGCTTTCCATTTTAAGCCTTGGAGAGAACTATATGACTTTTAAACACATGTTCCTATGTCCCTGCAGTAAAAACAAAGAACAAGTCACACCACCACCAGTGTAAGATGCGCCTGCCTCTCTGAGAGCCAGAGCCGCTGGGGTGGGGGCTGCCCCTGCCTGCCCTGGGGTATGGCAGCCCCTCCTGTCTAATCATCAGGGTGGAGGAGAGCAACAGCAAGCTTCTGGAATCAGAGAAGAAGCTGCAGGAGGAGCGGCAACGCAGCGTGGTGCTGGAGCAACATCTGGAGAAGATGCGCCTGGAGACTGGGAGGACGTCAGTCAGTCAGAGAGCAGCCCCCAGGAGCAAAACAGGTAGGAGCTGGACCAGGGGCCCCAATGGCAGGGGGGTGGCCTTGCTGCTACTGGAGGAGCCTGTCAGCAGCACCAATTCAGTCCCTTCGAGAAGAATGTGGGAAGCAGAGGCCTCCATCAGGGTGGAGCTCTGCCTGCCCACGCTGCTGGGGGGTCTTCTTTCCTTGGCCTCCTAGTCAGAACTAGGAGCCCCAAAGGCCCCACGTGGCCCTGACCCAGACACCTGCAAACCTTTATATGAGGTGGCAGTGCCTCCGCTAAATAGCCTCAGTTACCACCCCCACTCCAATGCTTAACCCTCTGTCCCGAGCTGACTTTGTTTAGAGTTGGTCTTGGGGCAAAGTTGGCCTGCTGAGGAAGCCAAGACGGCAGTGGCTGACCAGAAGAATCCCTCTCTGCTTCTGGCAGCAGTTGAGCAGGGATGAAGTGGCTTCTCTGTCTTGTGTTCCACCGTGCTCAGCTTGCGGCCGCCATGGTCTAAGATGGCTGCTTTAGCTTCCCCACCAGCAGCAGGAAGGGGAGGAGGGGAGGCAACAACCTGCTCCTCACCTTTTAAGGGCGTGATCCTAAGGTTGCTCGTGTCACTTCTGCCTTCATCCCTTGAGCAGATCCTAGTCACATGACCACGCCCAGCTGCAGTTGGAGATTTTGTTGTCCTGAACTAAAAGATCTATTCTCTAACACAGTGATTCTTTTTTAAAAAAAGATTTTATTTATTTATTTGAGTGAGAGAGAGGACAAGAGCAGGGTGAGGGACAGAGGGAGAGGGAGAAGCAGACTCCCCACTGAGCCAGGAGCCTGATATGGGGCTCGATGTGGGACTCAATCCTGGGACCCTGGGATCATGACCTGAGCTGAAGGCAGATGCTTAACCGACTGAGCCACCCAGGTGCCCCTAACAGAGTGATTCTTCAGGTGTGGTCCCTGGACCAGCAGCATCAGCATCTTGTGTGTCTGGGGCCAGCTGGGGGCATGGGATGCCAGAGCCAGAAGCAAAGGAAGGAAGAATCTTTAGTATGGAGGGGCTAGACCTGCCTCCCTCTGACGTCCCCATCCCAACCCCCTATAGGCTCTGGAGTGGAGGTGTTCTCCCTACTGCCCTGCCTCTCAACACCCCAGTATATCCCCCACCCCCTTCCCTAGTGAGGACACTCAGACCTTTGTCCCCAGCCCAGATGAGATCAGAACATTTCAGAAGGATGTGCCAGGAATGAGGCACAAAGCAGGAGTTGTGCCCTTTTCCCTTCTCCCACCAGCAGGGCCCAGAACTCAAGGGCCCTTCCAGTTGCTGCTGAGAATCCAGGCTGAGGAAGGTCCCTATAACTTAGCCCTGCTGGGCCCTCAAGAATAGGTCCCCTAGGAATGTGGTGTCTCTAGGCCTTGGGCTTATGACCTGAGTAACCCATCCAGGGGGTGCTCAGCCATGGCAGGAAAAACCATTTTTTTCCGCCTAGACAGCAAAGAGCAGTGGCCTGAGAAAAAGCGTCCATGTGGCCTTTGCCACCTGCTGGCCTGTGACGTGAGCAGAGCACCACTGCTTCAGGGAGTAGAGCACCCCCATCTGTAGAATGAAGAGACCTGAGTCTGGAATTTGGTCCCTCCACGGCAGTTCCACTCCAGTGGGGAAGATGGGTAATTACCAAAAAACCAGTAAAAGACATGCTAAGTCAGATGGAGGCAGGTGCCGGGGTTCGCAGCAGAGGAGGGGATAGGGTGTGCTGAGAGAGCAGCTGGTTTCCAGGAGGCCAGGGAAGAGCCCCCTGAGGAGTTGACATCTGCACAGAGACAGTGCGAGGGGCAGGGAGTGAGGCATACAGATACTCGAGGGAGGAGCAAGTGCAAAGGCACTGTGGTGAGAGCTTGGCGGGAGGCTTGAAGGAACAGGAAGGAACAGCAAGGAACAGCAAGTGAGGCTGGCACGTGGTGAGGGGAGGGGAGTATGAGGCAAGGTCAGAAAAGTGACAGAATACTGAGGAGGTGGTCCGATCACACGGAGCCTTGAGGTAAAATGTGAATTCACCCAGGCCTCAGAAAGCTTTAGAGGCAAGAACTATTATCCTCATTTTACAGATGAGAAGACCAGCTCAGAGAGGTTGGTCGTTTACCCAAGGCCACACAGCAGGGGGTGAAAGCCAAGTCTACTGATGCCAGGTGATTTTTCCCTGGGCCACACCATCCCTGAGAGCCACGCCACCTCTGAGGGCCTTTTCAGCACAGGTTCTCTGACGCTGGATTGTGCCCAAATTCCCACCAGTTGCCTTTGATTTCTTTTTCTGAGTATTCTGTGGCCTCTGGCCCTGGCCCCACTGGACTCTCTGTATGTATGTAGGGAGCTGCTGGTCAGGGAAGGCTTTGGAGGCAGGGGCTACTCAGTGGTAAGAGGGCATCAGAGGTGGTGATGATCTAGACTCACTGTGAATTGTGAAGATGGAGACAGTAACGAGAGGAACCACCTTGGTACAAAGCAAGCATAATCAGGGCTGTAGCAGAGACTAAAGCGTGAGTCCAGGGGAATGTGGAGCCAGCATCAGGGAGGGAGGCAGCCTTTGTCCTGCATCTTAAAAAAAAAAAAAAAATTTAATTGAAGTATAATTGACACACAGTGTTAGTTTCCGGTGTACAACACAGTGATTTGACAACTTGGTATGCTATGCCTTGTCCTCCATCTTGAAGGAAGTATAATGTTTCAGCAAGCGGAAAAGCAGGAACTAGGCAGTGGGGTGGAGAGGGGAGGAGAGCACTGACACGGGGCCACAGCCTCATCACAGAAAGCGGCTGCTACCGCCCCACAGGTCTGCCCACCTCCAGCACCAGGCACAACCCGAACGGGAGTGAAAGGAAGGACCCATCCTTCACCCAGCTCTCCAATGTGCCCATGGAATCACAGATGGAGGAGCTGACCACCAGGTGCTCTCCTGCCCCATCTTCCGGAGGGTGGCATTGTCTGAGCGGAGGTACTCTGATAGGCAGAAGGATCTTGTCCCTCTGGGTTTGATTTCTGTTTGCCCAGAGGGCTGCCTGCTGGGTGCTGGGGTCTAGGCCTGCAATTCAGCAGCTGGCCGCCAGAGGGCAGAGAGACCCAGCCGTGTCTCCGATGGCCTCCGAGTTCCGACAGTTGGACTAAGCCTGGGTTGCTGAAGCCACTTTTCTCACCCAGTTAAACTTTCAGGGTCAAAGGCAGTGATGTTCAAGGAAGGATGGAGGGACCCCTACAGATTAGTACTTATCCTTGAGGCAGCCAGCATTTGGGGGTGCTACTGGGTGCCAGGCCCAGGGCTGTGGGTGGGCCCAGAGAGGAATCCCACATGGTATTCCCCCAGGGTCCATGGGAGGAGGGGACAGGTCAGAGAGAACCCCGAGCCTCCAGAGCAGCTTCGCTGGCTGCTCCATTCCCAGCACCCCTGTACACACGCGTACCCGCGTGGGCCACACTGAGCCCTTTCTTCATGTGGCCCAGGCTGGCCATCCAGGTGGAGGAAAACGAGATGCTGAAGGCTGCCCTGGGCAGTGCCCTGCGTGGGAAGGAGGAGGATTTCCGAATGTACCACGAGACCCTGGGCCAGGTGAAAGGGGTCTTTCTGCAGGCCCTGCGGCAGCAGAAGGCGGACACTACTAGGATGGTGGCCCGGTGTCAGCCTGGCAGGACGGGGCAGCCTTAGGGGCGGAGAGGACTGCACCTGCTCCCAGAAGCCAACCTGGGCAACCAGCTCAGCCCCTTCTCCCGGAAGAGGTTCCCCAAGGGTGAGCAAAGCCAACACCTCAGACCAGGAGGGCAAAGGAGAAGCCTTGGCAGAGCCCTGGAGGCAACCCCGGACAGGCCGGGCAATGGCAGGGGAGGAGGCCCGGCGATCTGCTCAGCACCAGCAAGAGCTCTGGGACGATAAGACGGCTGTGGACAGACAGATGCAGCCCCTGAGTCAGGTGCTCTCACCCCACTTGGCCTCAGGCCTAGCTGGGAGGCCCTGCAGACCCACAGGGCTCCATCTGCCCAGGATGAGCCTCCCGCAGCCCCACCCACCTGCCTCACCAGGGCACTACCCCCACCCTCCCCCAGCTCCCTCCTCCATGGCTCCCTCTGTGGCCATGCCCCAACCTTCGCAGACTTGGGGGCACGTGCTCCCAGCCACTTTGTCAAGCCCTCTCTTCAGGGCTTTTCCTTAGCCACAGACCCTCAGACTTGTAATAATATTGATTATTTTCACGATCGCCACAGGTCCCAGTGAGTGAACATCTACCGTGGAAACCTGACCCCGCCTAGTCCTCTAGTAACCCAGGGATTTGGCACCCTCTTTTGCAGATGAAGAAACTGAGGCTTACGGAAAGAAGCTGGGCTAACATTTAACCCTGGGCCACCTGACTACAAAAACAGGGTCCTCTCAGTTGAGCGATTCGCCAGGGTGGGGGTGCCCACCCCCAACCAGCTGCTCTGGGAGTCCCCTCCATTTGCTTCCACAAGGCTGCAGCTAGTGGATGCCTGTTTAGGGGGGGCTGCTGGGCAGGAGCTTCAGGCTGGAGGGTCTGAGACAGTGAGTCCAGGCCAAGGCGTGGTGCTCCTCCGGCTGCATAGTGGTGAGCCCCCCATGTCCCTCTGTAACTGTCACAGTGTCACCCCCTCCTCCGCACACTCACAGCTCTGGGAGAGGGGAGCCCTAAGGAAAGTCACCCACAGCCACACATACCAACCAGACCCCTCGGCCACACCTGTGTGTGCACAGGCCCCCACAAAGCCGCAGGTGCGCAGAAATACCTAGACTCAGGAGCACGCAGCTGTACGGGGCATACACGCACCCCCAGACAGTGCCGGCTACGCACTCACAGGCCCTCCACACGGGCATGTGCTCACACTCGCACACACGCTGACCGGTCACTAGCAGAGTGACTCACAGGTACGGGCGCGTGCCGTGCGGAGGCGTCCCGGAGGGAAGTCACCTGGGGCTCCTGGGACCTGTCTGCTCGGGCCCTGCCTCAGGGGTGGGGGCTGGGAAGTACTCTGCACTGGTGGCCCCCAGCCAGGACGCCCCTGACCCTGCCTGGAGTGACACAGGTCTAGAGGTCCCTTGGCAAGGTGTAGTGAAGGCCATCAGGATGAAGCAGCGATGCTGAGGGGGTCCTAAGGGTCCCGGGAAGGGAAGAGTTTTTCTCTGATTCCTTGTGAAAGGAGCTGGCCAGGCAGAGCCAGAGGGACTGAGAGCTCCCGTGCCGGGAGGGGGCAGCATGTGACGGTGAGGAGTGGACCCCACGCAGAGTCGGGACACCAGACCGAGTAGTCCGTACCTTCCCCTGTAGGCATGGGGGAGCCCCACAGGGGATCTGAGTGTGGGCAGGGACAGGCTCTGGCCCTCAGTGGAGTGCCTGGGAGGGATAAGCAGGCAGAGGACCAGCTATCCTTCCTCAGCGATGGGCAGAGAGGCAGGGATCTCCTCAGGGAAATGGACGGTGGCATAACCCACACACCCTAACCCCTCGAGGGTGGCTTGGCCTGCCTTCCTGGCTCAGGGCTGCATCTGAGAGAGGAAAGAGCCTCAAGTCACAAGGTCTGAATAGGTGGGGGTCCCAGGGCCACATCTCTTTCCCCATTCATCAGCTGTGTGGCCTTGGGCGAGTTGCTTAACCTCCCTGAGCCTCCATATCCTCACCTGTAACATGGGGACAAGAATAGAAACCTCCTCCAAGGGCGGCTGTTATATGTGTCAGAGAACAGCTCGAAGACATTTAGCTCATTATTAGGTTGCCTTTTACTTCTGTACAAGGGACATGTATCAATAGATTGGTTTCATTCCACAAAGATAAAACAGGATTTACACCAGAGAGAGTGGGCAGTCAGGCATAGTAAATCTTGTTTGCTCATTTTGGGGTCAGCTGATTAACTGGCATCTTGCAGAGGTCAACTGGGCGCTCAGTCCTTGCTTAGGCCAACTGTGGGCATGAAGACAATTGTCTCAACTTACAGATTCTACGGGCAGCCTTGAGAGCTTTGCTGTGGAGTTGCATGCCAGGGGTCCCTGTCACGTCTGCGGGCACCTGCCATCAGTGAGACCAAGGCTGCTCCATCCCCTATCAGCATCCCTCTGCGGGAGTCACTGAGCGAAAAAGTGTCAAGTGCTAGAGCAGTGCTGGCCCTCAGGAAGCGCTCAATAAATGTTAGCCCTCAGCATTAGCCCTGTTAGCTCAGCGAGCACCTTGTGGAGCAGCCCCCCTGCCCCAGGCACGGTGGGGTCGGGTGAGCTCGAGGAAGGCCCCTGCCAGCTGGGCAGACAGACTTACAGGCCACCATCCGCTCAGCCGGCCAGCCATCGGGCAGGGAGTGCCACTGGCATTCCAGCCTCTTTGGGCCTGTGAGGGGCCTGGAGGTAAATCTGACTTACACTTTTCAGGGAGCTCCTGGTCAGGTCAGAGAGGCCTGGGCAGTAGGGCCATGACGGAGCAGGAGGGTATGGGATGCAGAGACAAAATGCAGCCCCTCTGAGCCTCTCAGCTTCTGTGCTGAGGCTTCCAGGCTCATCGCCCAGATCTGGATGGGAGGGAGCTGTTCATATTTCCCTGAGGAGTGGGGGGCAGCCGGTGGAGCCGGGGAGCAGAACTTTTTAAGGAAGGGAGGGGTTGTCAAAGGGGCCAAGGACTGGGGCCCTGAGGATCTAATGCAAGTGGGGGAGGCGGGGAGGGGGGCAGCCTGGTCTGTCCAGCTTAGTGCCCGTGGCCCCTCCCGAGCAGCACCACCTGTCCCTGGGACCCTGAGGAGGAACTCCCCAGCCCTCAGGCAGGTGGGCGGCTGGTGGGCTGGACTTGCCTTTCACAGATGAGAACACTGAGGTCCCTGCCCAGAGCCAAAGTGGTAGGAGGAGGAGAGAGGTGCTTGGAGAGTGGAGGGGCAAGGACAAGTTAAAAGGCTGGGCTGGGGAGAGGCCTCACGTGAAGACTCTCCCTGGCTGCACCCCTGGCAGGTGCCGCAGGCCTGGGTGCTCAGGTTCCCGCACTGACAGGTGAGACCTGGCGGAGCTGTGGGTGTGGCTTGGACACCATCCCCACGAAGGCCTCTCGGGCACCACCGCTGAGCTGGACAAGGTCACAGCCTGGTTCAGACTGATTCGAACCCCAAATACGTTCCATTGCCACGGGGCCCCTCCCTGCTTTCAGGAGCTCCGGGCAGGATGGCCTGCAGTGGGGGTCCTCCTCTGAGCCCCCATATGCAGTGGCCAGCCTCGCCTCTCCCTCTCCACCTCCAGTGAGCCCACAGTCACCCCACCCCCACTCCACAGGCACTGCCCACACTCCCTGAGCCTTGCATATACCCACGAACACAGTATACACATCACATATACACATATACACAACACACATGCACACAGTGCTTGAGCATACACAACTCAACAAACACACACCATAAACGACATACAATGCAAAACATACAGACCCTACATACAACTGACACAAAACACAGTTACAGACACATGGGATACTATGTGTTTTTCCTTTGAGCAACAGCACACCAAGAAATGAAAAAGGACGCTGAAACTTGAGAGAATTAACCCCCTGCCCATAGCATCTCTCCCAGTAGCCCTGGCGGCACTCGGGAAGCTGACCCCAGGCCCTTGTGCTGGTCTAAGCTCCATCAGCTTCCTGCTCTTGTTTTGTGGGCTGGTCGTGCCAGGCACCCTCCCTTGCCACCACCCTCATACAGGGCGGAGCTGGCTTTGGACTGTCCAGCACCAGGTCCAAGAGGCCTCCCTAGCCCTCTATCGAGCCTGCCATCCCCAAATGCCGGGCTCCCTGCAGACCCTGCTGCGTGGGGTCACCCGGGGCACAACTCCTGCTATGTGAGCCCTGCTGCTCTGGGCTTCTGGAGCGAGGCATCTGTGGCTCTCTTTCTGGGCAATTCAGTGAGCCACGCCCTTCAGGGAGTGAGTCATGGGATCCCCCCAAAAGCCCAATAAGGTCAGAGCAGGCCCATTTGCAAATGAGGATCTGAGGATCTGAGAAGCGGATCCCACCAGTGAGACCGATCTGGGGCTCAGGTGCAAGTCAGCTACAGAGCCAACCCCCCATCTGCTTCTCTGAGCCATTCTCTTTGAGCCTCAGGCGGGCACCAACTCAGTGGCTGGCCCAGGCTGGTCTCAGCCCGCACCCAGGGTGGATTGGATGTGTGGGGTTCTTGCCCCTGCAGGGTGATCAGCTCCAGAAGCTTACGGGGCTGACCTCCTTGTGTGTCAGTATCCTTTGCTATCAACTGGGGGAAATGGTAACACCTTCCCTAGGGGTTGTGGTGACATTAAAGAGTCCATGTAAAGCCTTAGAACTGTGCCCAGCTACTGTGATTAGCTTACTACCCTTCTAACAACCATTGACGCTACCTTAGGACTCTGCTCAGGTGTACCCCCACCCCCACCCCTGTCCAGGAAGCCCTCCCTAACCCCTGCGGTCTGGCTCAGGCATCCATCCCTGATGCTGGCCAGCTCTGGTGCCCACGATCCCAACGGCAGCCCTCACCCGGCCCCTATTCTGTGCAGTGATCTTCGTGTACACTTCTCGGGGCCGGGCACCAGTGATGAAGGCCTCCGTGTCGTTCTGTGTGGTATGTATGCTGGGGTCTCCTTGCTTCTTCCTCTGGGCCAATGTGTCTGCTTGGGTGGCAGCTCATTGCCTAAGGGCATTGTGGGAGGATAGGAGCCACTCCCTCCCCTTCTCAGACCTTGGTCAGTCTCTGGATGTTCCCCTGCTAGAGGATGGGGGAGGGACAGAGCACTTTCCTTCCCCATCCTCCGCTGAGCCCGTGGCTGGAGTCAAGGGATCAGCAGGAGCTCCAGGACCTGTCCTGTGACTTGTTACAGTCACACAGCTCCTTCAACGCCCCCCCAGACTCCAGATCCTGCTCACTGCATATGCATGAACTGGCCCCGACAGAGATGGCACAGATATAGCTCCCCTAGACGCTGAGGTCCTCCTCCTAAAGGGAGACTGTCAGATGTTCCTGTCCTCTTGGCAGGTTCTTCAGGATACCCTTCCCCACTGGGAAGGCTGGGCTGAGGCCTTGGCTGCCCCTTGCACGAGTGAGGGCCATGTCCCCTGCCCCCAGAGGGCTCCCGGTTGGTTAGGGACACTCAAGAGATGCCAGCCACTTCAGGAAGCTAGTTAAGCCTTGTCCAGTGACCCTACTAGCACCCCTCCACCTGGGCAACTGCCTATGGGACAGGGCTGGGGTATGGGACCCCCTCTGCCACATGTCTCAGGCCAGTTCCAATCCTACTAGTCAAGCCAGTCCTCCCCCAGGCACTAATGCCTGGTCAACTATCGGACTCTTGGCATAATGAAATGAACCAGAGCAGGGGGCTAGATGGATCTGCCCTGGGACAGCCCTTGGGAGTTCACATGTAAAGGTGCAGGCTAGAGTATGGAGCTGAGCATGAAGTGTGCGTGTGTGTGCATGCAGTGGGGGCACGGCTCACAAGAGGTCAGTGAGGGCTGCCTGGAAGGCTTCCTGGAAGAGGGGAGTCCTGGCCAGCAGTGAGAGGGAGGCACAGGCTCTACAGACCAGGAGAGGCAAGCTGAAGTGAGGCCCAGGTGTCCCTGTTGGAGCCTATACCACTGGCCACCCCTTCCCCCACCCCTGCCCCCCCCTCCCCCACGATCCTCCCTGCGGCTCCCTGTGGCCAGCAGCTCTGCAGCGCTCGGCTCCGCTCCACTCTGCTCAGCTCCGCTCCGCTCCAGGAAGGCCACCTCCTCCCTGCCCTCCTCCACCCTCCTCCTGCTGTCACCACTCACCGCTCATAGCCTTGAGAGGGTGGGGACCCCAGGACTGGACACACCCCACTGTGGCTCCAGAGCCTAGCTGGTCGGACGGACGCACGGTTGGACGCAGGACCCCGGAGCCCCGAGGTGGGCAGTGTGCCAGGGTCCCTCACAGACTCCTCAAGGTCAGTGCCAGTCGGGGATTCAGCCACTCTGGGGTCCTTGAGACCTATGGAGCCCACCTCAAGCCCCTCATCCCAGACTTCAGGCCCTAAAGCAGTCTTTACCTCAGGTGTACCTGAGGCAGGCAGGACCAGGGGGCAGGGGGCACCGCTGTATCCAATGGGGGCCCAGGTCCGGGGGTCTATCGGAAGTGGTCCCAGGCCGGGGGCCAGCCCTGGCCCTGCTCACAGAGGCCTCACTGGGGACACCCCGCACCGGCCATGGGGAGCTAAAATTGGAAAGTGGCAAGTGGGAGGCAGCTGACAAAGCTATTTCATGGGCTCTTCACTGTGCTCCGGTTTCAAACTCCTGCTCCATTAACCCGATCCTCCGGGCCTCCCTCCCCCGACCTGGCCGATGAGGAGGCGCCTCAGCCCTCAGGCCAACAGTGCGGAGGTCAGTCTGGGAAGCCCCCTGGTATGGGCAGCGGCAGCAATGCTCTTAACTGAGATTCCGGAGGGCTCACTGGGAATACACAATCCTGTCCCAGGCTTACTGTGTGACCTTGACAGATCCCTGCCTCTCTCTGGCCCATGACCCCTCTGTCTATGTAGTGGGGAGAATGCTGACTGTGGGGGCCCGGGAGAGCTGGTTGCATTGCTGGGAAGAGAGATTTGGGGGAGGATCAGGGGTGGGAGACAGGGCCATGCCAGCCACCTCTTGGCCCAGCCCAGCACAAGAAAGTGCCTGGACATGTTCCTCCCTTTAATTTGGCCCTGGGTCTGTTAATCGTGGCACCCTTGGGAACACCCAAGGCCAGGCTGGAGCATAGGAGGGGATGGCCCACCAGGACTCCTGGGGATGAACTAGGCCCTGGAAGAAGGGCGTGGCTAGGCTCACCCTGAGCCTGATACCGGTCAGCACCTTGGACAGAGGCCAGCACGCTCCCTGGGGCTGTCTGGCCCTGCCTGGCCCCACATCCACTGCCCCAGGGCACCTCTTCAAATAGCACCGCCTCTAGCCAGCATCCAGGGCCTGAATACACAAGCACTGAGAGAGTGGGCGGTGTGGCCACGCACACAAGGCAGGGACCGGGGAAGTGGCAGGCTGGGGCTCAGGGGCTGGTTGGGGCAATGGGAATCAGTGAGAGGCTGGAGGCTGAATGAGAGGTAAGGAAGCTTAATGCTGGGGACAGGACCTGGGAGGCCAGGAGATCTCAGGGAAGTAAAGGCAGCTCTGGAGGGGTGTGGGAATCCAAGAAGGGGGTATTGGAGGGGGGACATTGTCAGGAGCTGCAGGAGGCTTACTGAGGGGGGTGGGGACCCTGAGGGCCAGGAACATGATTGAGGTGACATAGATGGAGTCCCCGCACATGAAGGTTATCTGAGGCCTTGGCAGGAGCAGTTCGAGCAAAGGGTGGGGACCCGTCCACCTGAAAGGCATGAAGGAGTAAATGAAGGTGAGGCAGGCAGGCTGAGAGTGAAGATTAGGCTTTCAAAAGCCTTCAAAGGGAAGGGGGGGGAGCGAGAACAGCTGCTAGGAATGGGCACCGGATGTTACAGCACCTGGGAGGGGAGGGGTGGGGGCGGGGAGAGGATGGGATAATAGCATGAGATCCCTGGAGGGCAGGAGGGGCAATCTCTCTTCAGAATGGGATCCCCATCACCTCTGTGGGGAGCCATCGGCTGGGGCTAGGCAGGGCTGGGGGGCAGCAGTGCCCTCACCCGATCTGTCTCCCCCAGCGCCATCCAGGCTATGGGCATCAAGACAGCGTTGCCCGCGGCGGAGCTGGGCTTATACTCCCTGGTGTTGAGTGGGGCTCTGGCCTATGCTGGTCGGGGTCTCCTTGAAGCTTCACAAGGTAACGGCCGGGCTCTGGAGCAGGGGGTGGGACGCTTCCTCCCCTGCGGGCCTCAGGGTTCCACCCAGCAAGGCCATAAACTTCAAGGCTCCAGACCCAGGATATTCCCTAAGCCCGGGGGTTTGGGCTGAGCTAGGTGTAGTCACAGGGAGAGACAGATGCAGAGGCACTGACAGAGACCTGCACACAGAGCCACAGAGAGAGAGGGAGACTCAGACACTTGGGGGTACAGGCAGGACCTGGCCCGAGACACACAATGAGACCCAGAGAGAAGCAGAGGCAGAGAGAGAGAGAGACCTAGACCCATTCCCATCCCTCCAGGGTGGGGATCAGCCTTGCTGTAGGGGCAGGTATGGGTGTGAAGTCCCCGCAGCCCCCACTGAGGCCACACTCTGTTCTCAGATGGGGCCCACAGGAAGGCTTTCCGGGAGTCTGTGAGACCTGGCTGGGAGTACATTGGCCGGAAGATGGTAGGTCCCCCACACCCCAGAGTCCCTGACTGAGGTGCCCGATCCCTGGCATGTCTCTCCCATCCCGGACCCTTTCCGACTCTTCCCCGTTCCAGATGTTCCCATGTAACAGAGGGCTCACAGTGAGGAGGGTCTCTGGCTTGAGCTTCAGAGCCTTCCATTTCCCCACTGGCCCATCCTGTGTCCTCCTGGGGCCACATCAAGCCTGCCCCCAGACACTGCTCATTTAGGAAATAAATTGAGACATGCTTCAGCGGGGGCCTCCAGCACCATCCTTCCCAGGAACAATGCCATTAATGGTGGAATGTCAGGCAATATGCTGAAGAGGGGGAGTTCGGGGGGGCAGGGCAGCACACATGGTACCCCTCGTTTCTCTCTACTACCTGGCTGGTACTTCCCCCAGAGGGGAAGGCGAGGGCCTCCAGCCATGGCTGTCCTCTAATATGTAAGAATATGGGGGTTGGGGAGGTAGGTGCTGGGACTCTGCTCAGCTCTAGCGCCAGCCCATCCTGCCCCCTGCCCCTCCTTAACCTGCCCGGGCCTGCCCCAGGACGTGGCTGACTTCGAGTGGGTGATGTGGTTCACCTCCTTCCGAAACATCATCGTCTTCGCCCTTTCTGGACATGTGCTGTTTGCTAAACTCTGCACGATGGTTGCCCCCCAGGTGAGCTGGACCTGACCCACCCCAGCCTCCCCTGCCGGCTCCCCTTGAGCTACAAGGGTTGGGGTCCCACTTCCACTTGTATGGATAGATAAACCATTCCTTCTCCCTGTCCACAGCTCCGCTCCTGGATGTATGCCGTGTATGGGGCCCTGGCTGTGCTGGGCACGATGGGCCCTTGGTACCTGGGGCTGCTGCTTGGCCACTGTGTCAGCCTCTATGTGGCCTCACTCTTGGGCCAGCCCTGGCTCTGTCTTGGCCTCGGCCTGGCCAGCCTTGCCTCCTTCAAGCTGGATCCCCTCATCTCCTGGCAGGTGTGCACTGGGGAAGGGCAAGGGTGGAGGGTGCAAGAATAGGACCCCAAACTGCTCACCCCATCTAAAGCCCTTGCTTTTGGAGTCTCCCCCAAGCATTTCCTTCACTTTCCCACCTGTCTCCAAACCTTTGACTGAGGCACATACCCACCCACAAAGTGGTCCCCTCCACCGCAGCGGGGACGTGTCCAGCTCGTTCCCTGCTCTATCCAAGCACTCAACATGAATTAGCCCTCAGTGGCCAGTGTTGATTGGCTCTGCAAGAGAGGAAGGGGCCAGGACAACGCTGGGCCCCTATGGGAAGCTGGGTGGGCTTCCCAGAGATGGGGCACCTGGTGAGCTGGCGGCCTGTTCTCTCCCATCCAGAGCGGGTTTGTAACAGGCACTTTTGATCTTCAAGAGGTGCTGTTTCACGGGGGCAGCGGTTTCACCGTGCTGCGTTGTACCAGCTTTGCGCTGGAGAGCTGTGCCCACCCTGACCGCCGCTACTCCCTAGGTGACCTGCTCAAGTACAACTTCTACCTGCCCTTCTTCTTCTTCGGGCCCATCATGACCTTTGATCGCTTCCACGCTCAGGTGAGCGGACACCCTGTGGGATTCCAGAACAGGGCTGGGTCTCCCTCTTCAGACAGGGGCTCCCATCTCAGCTAGGACTCCCAGGGCAGGCTGTGTCCTCACCCTCAGGCAGGACCCCAGGATGAAGCCATAATACCCTGCCTCCTCAGACCCCAGCATGGGGCCTCATTCCCTGCTCAGACGGGGACCACAGGCTGGAGAAGTGACTCCACTCTCAGGCACAGCCGCCAGGATGCAGGCGTGTCTCCCCTCACCTTCAGATCCCCAGACAGTTGGTGCCCCCCCCCATCCAGACAGGATGCCTCCGGCAGCCCTTGCCTCCCCACTCAGACGCTCCGCATCCCCCAGATGAGCCAGGTGGAGCCGGTGAGGCGCGAGGGTGAGCTGTGGCGCATCCGGGCCCAGGCCGGCCTCAGCGTCATGGCCATCATGGCCGTGGACATCTTCTTCCACTTCTTCTACATCCTCACCATCCCCAGTGACCTCAAGTTTGCCAACCGCCTCCGGGACAGCGCCCTCGGTGGGTGTGCAACCCGGCCAGAACAGGGACTGGGAAAGACAGAAAGACAGACCTTCTGCGTCCCCATGGCGTCGCTGCTGGGGAGTTGACACCCTGCGAGGGCACAGCACCTATCCAAGGGTGGGGGGGCCGGGATTTTACTCTTTGAAATGCCTGGGACTTGGAGTTAGCTTTATTCTATGAGGCCAGAGCGGCAGGGACAGAGCTGCCTCACGAGGGCCTCTGGTTGATTACCACAGCTTGGGTGGAAGGCAAGAATGAGCAGGAAATGGTGGGTGAAGAGGTCAGGGAGGGAGGCGGAAACCAGACATCGTGGGATCTTCTAGCCTTAGTAGGGACGTGGGTTATTCTAATTGTAATGGGGAGCCTTTGGGGGAGGGTTTGATTGTGGAAGTCACGGCTCTGACTCTGGCTGCTATGTGGAGAACGGATGGTAGGAGTCAGGGACGACACCCTATCCCCAGCTGTCCTAGCCTACTCAAACCTGGTGTACGACTGGGTGAAGGCGGCCGTCCTCTTCGGCGTGGTCAACACAGTGGCGCGCCTTGACCACTTGGACCCTCCCCAGCCTCCTAAGTGCATCACCGCGCTCTATGTCTTCGCCGAAACGTGAGTGCGAGGTCCGGGGGACACGCCACTGGGATCCCCACCTTCCCGTAGCCTCTTCCCCCCATTCCCCCGGAGCACTGCTCCTGGCTGATTCACACCCATCTGCCCTCCTCCCTCAGGCACTTTGACCGTGGCATCAACGACTGGCTTTGCAAGTGAGTTGGGGTGGGGTGGGGTAATGGTCACAGTCATTGCGCCAGGTGTCTGAGCAAGGCAGTGCAGAGATGGGTCCACATTTTAGAAGATCAGCCCTGGGCCAGAGGAAGCAAGGAGGAGGTCGTCGCAGAGGTCTAGGTGAAAGACAGAAGTTTGGACATGGGTGGGGGCGCTGGAGGTGAGAGAAATGGTTGGAGTCAAGACACAGAGCACGCTGGAGAGCTGTGCCCACCCTGACCGCCGCTACTCCCTAGGTGACCTGCTCAAGTACAACTTCTACCTGCCTTTCTTCTTCTTCGGGCCCATCATGACCTTTGATCGCTTCCACGCTCAGGTGAGCGGACACCCTGTGGGATTCCAGAACAGGGCTGGGTCTCCCTCTTCAGACAGGGGCTCCCATCTCAGCTAGGACTCCCAGGGCAGGCTGTGTCCTCACCCTCAGGCAGGACCCCAGGATGAAGCCATAATACCCTGCCTCCTCAGACCCCAGCATGGGGCCTCATTCCCTGCTCAGACGGGGACCACAGGCTGGAGAAGTGACTCCACTCTCAGGCACAGCCGCCAGGATGCAGGCGTGTCTCCCCTCACCTTCAGATCCCCAGACAGTTGGTGCCCCCCCCATCCAGACAGGATGCCTCCGGCAGCCCTTGCCTCCCCACTCAGACGCTCCGCATCCCCCAGATGAGCCAGGTGGAGCCGGTGAGGCGCGAGGGTGAGCTGTGGCGCATCCGGGCCCAGGCCGGCCTCAGCGTCATGGCCATCATGGCCGTGGACATCTTCTTCCACTTCTTCTACATCCTCACCATCCCCAGTGACCTCAAGTTTGCCAACCGCCTCCGGGACAGCGCCCTCGGTGGGTGTGCAACCCGGCCAGAACAGGGACTGGGAAAGACAGAAAGACAGACCTTCTGCGTCCCCATGGCGTCGCTGCTGGGGAGTTGACACCCTGCGAGGGCACAGCACCTATCCAAGGGTGGGGGGGCCGGGATTTTACTCTTTGAAATGCCTGGGACTTGGAGTTAGCTTTATTCTATGAGGCCAGAGCGGCAGGGACAGAGCTGCCTCACGAGGGCCTCTGGTTGATTACCACAGCTTGGGTGGGGTCTCCCTGGGGCCGGCAGTGCCAGCTCCTCCCCCAGGAAATGGGGGGTGGGGGTCTCCGTGGGGGCGGGCCGGCTGCCAGGACCTCCCCTTAGACCTGCGGGGGGGGGGGGGGGGGGGGGGGGGAGAGGCCGTAGGGGAGGGCCTGGCTCCGTGCCTCCCCACCACGATTTGAGGGATCCGGGGAGCGGAGACCCGCGCGACGCCCCCCAGTCAGGGACGACACCCTATCCCCAGCTGTCCTAGCCTACTCAAACCTGGTGTACGACTGGGTGAAGGCGGCCGTCCTCTTCGGCGTGGTCAACACAGTGGCGCGCCTTGACCACTTGGACCCTCCCCAGCCTCCTAAGTGCATCACCGCGCTCTATGTCTTCGCCGAAACGTGAGTGCGAGGTCCGGGGGACACGCCACTGGGATCCCCACCTTCCCGTAGCCTCTTCCCCCCATTCCCCCGGAGCACTGCTCCTGGCTGATTCACACCCATCTGCCCTCCTCCCTCAGGCACTTTGACCGTGGCATCAACGACTGGCTTTGCAAGTGAGTTGGGGTGGGGTGGGGTAATGGTCACAGTCATTGCGCCAGGTGTCTGAGCAAGGCAGTGCAGAGATGGGTCCACATTTTAGAAGATCAGCCCTGGGCCAGAGGAAGCAAGGAGGAGGTCGTCGCAGAGGTCTAGGTGAAAGACAGAAGTTTGGACATGGGTGGGGGCGCTGGAGGTGAGAGAAATGGTTGGAGTCAAGACACAGAGCAGGGAGCCTGGACAGGATGTGGCCATGGATTGAGGGGATCAAGAAGGAGACGGAAACGACTCCCAGATTCCTATGCCTGGGAAGATGGAGGGGCAGCATCCAGAGAGGGGTTCTGTGTGAGAAATGGTTGGAATCTGGGAGACATCCTTGTGGAGGTTCAGGGAGGTGGTTGGGTCTGAGGGTCTGGGGTTCAGAGAAGTCTGGAGGACCGATGCAGCTCCGAGCCTTATGAGTGTGGGAGGGTGGTCTTTAGTCCTTGGGAGTGCCTAAGTCCCAAGGAGAGAGAGTAAAGAAGAGGAGAGAAGTTGTGGCTGAGATTGGAAGGAAGGACTCCCACTGGGGGAGAAGAGAGAGTGGCAGAAGGGACTGAAAGGTGTGGTCAGAGGAGAACAGTCAAGACCACATGACAGTCTGGAAACAAGAAGAGCATCCAGGCACGGTGGGGCCAGCTGGGTCAGATGCTGCTGGGGAAGCTAGCTACTGAGGGGGAGACAGAGGAGTTGCTGAAGGGAGAAGGGAGGTGTCTTAAGACAGCAAATAGTGGGACATGCTCGGTTGCTAAGAGGAAGTCTAAGTTGGGGAGGCAGGATAGAGGGGTGACTGATAGAGTGAGGTCCCCAAGGAGGGAGGAGGTGATGGAACCAGTGCTAGGCAGAGGCTTGGCCTCAGGACAGGGAGGAGGAACAGAAGCCAGCATGGATGCAGGGTGGCGGGTTAGTGTCGAGAAGTGAGGGATCCACCTGAAGCCTTCAGTTTTCTGCATGAAGTAGGAGGCAAGGTCACCAGCTGAGAGATGCCAGGTTGGGCACAGAGGGAGACAGCATCTTCGTGCCCCGTTTCCTCTTGCCTAGCTCACCCACCACACCCGCTCACAGTTGGGGGAGAGATAAGGGTGGAGTAGCCACTGGAGAGCATGGCAGAAGAAGAAGCTGACTACAGAAACCTTGGCATTGAGAGCCCAGGTGGGGTTGGAGGTAGTGGATTTAGGGACTCCAGCATGTAAAGGTGTGAGATTTTCCTTATCAGAGCTTAGCTTCTTGGGTGCAGGTGAGGAGACCATGGGAGATTGGGCTCTCCCAGATTGGTGAGAAGGAAGAAGCGAAGGATGAGGGGTTTTAGGTTATTTATAATGATGATCATTGAATTTAAGCCAGTTAAAGAGGGTGGTAAAAATAGGGTTGCAAGGTGAGGAAGGGGGGGAGGGGGAGGGGGTCAATGAGATTGAAGAACTGGAACGGGCGGGGGGGCGTGTCAGGAGGGGCTGGGTGGAGAATGATAAGTAGGAGGGAATGAAATTTCAAGCGGTAACGAAGTTGGAGTATGACCATGGGAGTGGGTGGCTCTGAGATGGTGTGGAGAAGCAACCACTGGAAATGAAGAGGTCAAGGCCTGAAGAGGTCAGTTACTCAATGGGTCTTCTACCGAATTTATTTAACAAATATTTATTGAGTACCTACTATGTGCCAGGCATTGTTCTAGGCACTGGGGATACAGCAGTGAACATGGCAAAGACCCTGAACTCATGGAGCTTACAGTCTAGTGGGGAGAAACAGACTATAAACAGGTAAACAAACACATAAAAAAAACAATTTTAGAGAGTGGTAAGCATTATGAACAAAAACCAAACAAGTGTAATGGGATAGAAGCTGGTCACCGGGTAGAAGCTTCTACAGTTGTGGTCTGGGCAGGCCTCTGTGGGATGATATTTGAATTGAGACTTGAGTGATAAGGAAATCTAGGGAAGAGAATTCGAGGGAGAAGGAACAAGGGCATAGGTTTGAGGCAGGAACCAGCTGCCTGTGTCTGAGAGACAGGAAGGCCAGTAAGGCAAGAATGAGCAGGAAATGGTGGGTGAAGAGGTCAGGGAGGGAGGCGGAAACCAGACATCGTGGGATCTTCTAGCCTTAGTAGGGACGTGGCTTATTCTAATTGTAATGGGGAGCCTTTGGGGGAGGGTTTGATTGTGGAAGTCACGGCTCTGACTCTGGCTGCTATGTGGAGAACGGATGGTAGGGGTCCAAGGCAGAGGCAGGGACGTGACTGAAGAGGCTCTTGCAATAATCTATGAGAGACGAGATGACCCGCTGGGCAAGGGTGGTGTAGTGAGGGTGGCAAGAAGCAGTCAGGACTGCGTGGAGCCCATAGAATTTGCTGGCTTGGACATGGAGAGGGGAACTGATAGTCCAAGGTGGCGCCAAGTCTTCTCAATGCAACTGAATGGATGGAAGTGTCATTGTCTGAGATGAGGATGCAGCAGGTTTGGACAGAGATGGGGGACTCTGTCATTCAAGTGAGATGTCTAGTGACAGATGTGTGAGTCAAGACAGCAGGCTAGAGACATAGATTTGGGGCTCATCAGCCTAGAAACAGTGTTCAAAGTCTTGGGTCTGGATGAGATCGCTTGGGGAATGGATGAGGAGACACCGAAGTTCAAAGCTGAGCCTTCCGCATTCTGAAGTTGGGTAGAAGAGGAGCAGCCATCTGAGGTCAGGGATGTTAGACGTGCCCGGGATGATGGTGTTGAGGAAGGCTGCCCTTGTGGCATATCCTTTGCCCGTCTCCTACCTGCCCTCTCCCACACCCCCGCTGGTCCTTTCTCCTGCCTTTCTTGCAGGTATGTGTATGACCACATTGGTAGGGAGCACTCCAAGGTGATTCCAGAGCTGGGGGCCACCGTGGCCACCTTTGCCATCACTACTCTGTGGCTTGGACCTTGTGATATTGTTTACCTGTGGTCATTCCTTAACTGCTTTGGCCTCAACTTTGAACTCTGGGTGCAGAAGCTGGCAGAGTGGGGGCCCCTAGCACAAATTGAGGTGAGTGGGGAAGGCCTGGGGCAGGGGTTGGCTGGGTCACTAGAGGGGGTGCACTGCTGCTCCCTGGAGTCTTCCAGCCACACCTGGCCCCCAGTCCGGAACTTTCTCACAACAACTTCCTGGCTGTCAGGGCAATGGCTCCCCCTCTGGGTATCGAGCACCCCCTCTGTGGAGTGTGGACACCTGGGCCAGGCTGTGTTGGTCAGGCCCTCCCCTCTCTCTGGTCCTCAGTATTCCCATCTTTAACAACGAGGGAGGGCTGCCCTGGGGATTCTCAGAGACCCAAGCTCATGCCCAGGACCTGGGGGAGCCCTGTGGGCAGGACCTCTGACCAACTGTGTGCTCTTTCCCCATGCTCTCTTGTCCCACTGCCAATGCTTTCCTGGCCTGGGCAGGCCTCTGTGTCGGAGCAGATGTCTCGCAGGGTCCGGGCCCTCTTTGGGGCCATGAACTTCTGGGCCATCATCATGTACAACCTTGTAAGCCTGAACAGTCTTGAGTTCACAGAGCTGGTTGCCAGGCGCCTGCTACTCACAGGTGAGCGACAGGGAGGTGTGGATACAGAAGATGCCAGGCATCAACCTTGAGGACTGTGACCTCCTGAGACGCCCCCACCCCAACCCAACACCCCGGGGACCTAGCAGGGTGGGCCAATCAAGCGGGGAGGGGCCTGAGAAGAAAAGAGTCCCTGAGGCTGGGGTCCTGTTCCCAGGCATCGATGACCTCTCCCCCACACAGGGTTCCCCCAGACCACTCTGGCCGTCCTATTTGTCACCTACTGTGGTGTCCAGCTGGTGAAGGAGCGAGAGCGAACCCTGGCCCTAGAGGAGGAGCAGAAGCAGGACAAAGAGAAGCCGGAGTAGGTGGGAGGAGGCAGAGGGGAGAGGGATAGGCTCTGCTCAGCTATTCCTGGGCTCAGGCCCAGGCCCAGGCCAGGCGGGATGGGGCCTGACTGCTAGAATAAAAGACTTTTCTACCACAGTTTGGCTGTTCCCTTGTCCCTTCCACCAGCAATCTCCTGGCTCCTTGTCCATGCTGTTTGAGGAGGTGGGGGTTCTGGGCCCCAGGGAGGCGGGGGTCAGGCTCTCGGTGCACACAGAATGTGGAGGAGATACCCACGTGGAGTGTGGAGGCCACTGACCTGGGCAACCCAGCAGCTGAACACCGAAGCCTGGAATCTTCAACCACCTGGCCACTGACTCTTGGAGGACCTGATTCCAGACCCTGAGCTACTTGCTCAGAAGGCACTTTATTCCTCTTAAGGAAGGTGACTTACCCAGGCTGCAGAGTGTGCTTGAAAGGGACACTCTCCAAATGACAGGCGAGGAGATGGAGTCCTGTGGGTACACCCACCTGCACACAGGTGGGCTGGGACTGGCCCCGAATGCAACCTCCCTGTGGTTCTGGCTCATGGAACAAGAAGACCGGGGATATGGGGACACCGGAGAGCCCTAAGGTCCTGGTCCCTGCCGGAAAGGCTAGGACTGGGCAGCGATTTCCCTCCCCTGATGAAGAGCACCCCAGATGGCACAACGGGACCCAGGTGGGCTTGGGCTTCTCCCAGCCTCCTCTCCGGAGCCCTCAAAAGTCCAGGCCTGTGTGGCTGCAGGGTGCGGGGGGGCGGTACTTAGTTCAGGCCCTCGGGGCTGGTCACATCTTGGTCAGGCGCAGCACGTTGAGCCGCACGGGTAGGAAGGTGGCGCCGGCTGCGTAGGCTATCTCCCTCAGGACGCCTTCCCACTTCTTCTCGTCCTCATTATATCTGGGGGTGGGAGGGAGGAGTGGGGACAGGGACACAGAGCTGGGTCAGCCGAGTGCAGAGTGGGCCCCCGCGGAGAGGGGTGGCTGACGATGCCTACCCCTGGGGAGTGTCCCCGAAGCCCCAGGCCCATCTCCAGAAAGATCTGATCCTGGAGAATTCTCATGTCCTGGGAAAGGACCCCCACACACAAGGCCCACCCCCAAAGAACAGCCACCCCACATTCCAGGAAGGGTCACCTCTCAAGGAATGTCCCACGCCTCCAGGAAGGCCTGCATCTCCACAGCCCCTCCTCTGGAGAATTCTGTATTCAGCACTCCAGAAGTCCCCCCAAGACCCACCCGCCCCCATGGAGCCGTGAGAATAACTGAAGGTTTAGCAGGTGCCCCAGGCACCGAAACCTCTTCCCTCCACCCCCAGGAAGGGCCAGCATGGAAAGCGATGGCTCTCAGAAGTTGGGGTCCAGCTTCTTCTCAATCCTGGCCCCAGCTCTCCCCTCCAGCAAGAGCACCCAGGACGGAGTGGGGAGGAAAGGCCTGGCTGCCTCTTCAGGGCCCCCTCTACTCCCTGGAGCCTGTTTCCTTGGGTCTGGGCCCTGAGCTTGGGGCAGCTCCAGCCTGCGGCTCACTTGATGCTCCACAGCGGGGCATGGTGCCCTGTGAGCAAACCGGGCCCCTGCCAGCCAAACCAGAAAGACTGGGCTGAGCAGGGTGTGTCTGCTGTCCCTTCCACACGGGACTCCCCGGAAGAGGGATCACCCCAGCCCCAGATGAACTCGCCAGGTGCCGCTGGGGGGCATCAGCCTTGCTCGGGGGCTTCCCTCACCTCCCTGGGCCCCGGGCTCACCTCCAGATGTCGTTGAGCTCTGTGGGGACCAACTCTCCAGACTCGGTCTCCAGCGTGGCAAAGCCACCGATGGCATACAGGGTGCCCGCCAGGCTGACCAGGCTGAGGGAGCTGCGTTCCTGTGGGAAGGCCTCCAAGGGTGCCCACCTGGCGGGGAGGAGGGGGCGTGAAGAGGTGCATCACCCAGAGGCCCCAGCGCCCACAGCTTCAGCTACACCCCTTGGAAACCCGAATCCCAAGCACCCATACTCCCAGCACAACCTTCTGTGTCCTGACCCTCCCAGGACCGCCCTCCAGCCTTCCCCGTTCTCCTGCCCCTTCCATTTCCCTTCACGGTCCCCTGGTCATTGCATCCGGCCTGCCCCGTGCAATCCACCATGGATCTCCCCAGTGGCCCTCCTTTGCTCCTGAACTAATTCTCCCAGGGGAGCTGCCCTCCCCTGGCGCCCCTGCCCCATCCTTCTTCCCGTCTTCGCTGCCCAATTATTTTCAAGGTGTCTTCACTCCCCTCCTCTGGCCATGAGGTTGGGCCTTCATCCCTACCCTCCAAAACAGCTCTCTGGTCCCCAGCCACCACAGAGCATAAAATCCAGGCATAACACACATCTCTGCTGATGTGACGTTCTCGCCTCCCACCTGCCCAGGCTCTCATGTCCTCAGATTCCTTCTTGGATAATGCATCTGCCTCCCCAGTCCCTCAGGGCTTGGGCCTCAGCTTCTCCCTCTTACACTCTCTCTCCTGAAGGAGCTCATTCCCTCTGTTTACTGTTGGCCCCAAATCTCTCCAGCTCAGCATTCTCTCTGCCCTGGTGGGCTCCTCCGAGACACTCCCAGATCCCACACATCCACATGTCCGGACTGGACCCTCACATTTCCGATCTAACCTCAGTGGTTCTCCAGTAAATGACCTCCCGCCCTCTCTCAAAAGCATCCACATCTCCCTCTTATGCCCAACATCCAATCAATCTCTAAATCTTATTTCTTCTATCTCCTAAACTCTTACTACTCTAAGTACGGCCCATGGACCAGCAGCAGTAGCATCACCTGGGCGGCGTGAGGGGTGTTAGAAATACACACTCTGGCCCTTCCCCAGGCCCAAGAATGAGAATCTGCATTTTAACATGACGCCCCAAGAGATGCGTGTGCATGTCACAGTGTGGGAAGCCCTGGCCTACATCTTTCTCCTGTGCGATCCCTCTGCCTCGTCTCCACTGTGCCCCCATCTGCATGCCGCCACCACCTCCTGCTCTACGGCTGCACCCCTGCCCCCGGGGAAGATCTCTAATCTGTTCTCTACATCAGCTGTTACCTAATAAAACACAGCTGTGAGCCTAAAACCCATCACAGGCATTTCCCCGCCCTCAGGATTAAGTCCCTTAGCCCTGCTTGCCACCTCTCCAACCCCAGTGCCCCCCATCCCCACCTTCCTTCCTCCAACCTTTCCTCCAACAGGCCTGCCTTTTTTTTCTCCTAACTGCCTTGTCACCAACTTTCCTTGGCCTGGGGCATCCTTCTCCCGCCATCCCTTTTGCTGGCTAAGTCCAAGGGGACTGCCAGCTCAGTTTTCCCCTGACCTCCCAAGGCAGGGCAGCTTCTGTCTTGGTCATCAGTGTATCTGGAGCACCAGGCCACTGGCCGGCATGGCCCTCTGAATGAAGAACCTGGCATCTCCCGCCCCACTCCTGGGAGCTCTCTCCTGCAGACCAGGCTGGCCCTAACCCTGGCCCCAAATTGTGGGGGAAGCCCGCCTCATGGCTGATGAGGAGAGGCTATTCCTGTGCTGATGTCAAGCGGGAGGGACCGTGGTTCCTGCCAGGGCCGTCGCAGAGAGACCCAACAGGTTCAAAGCCACACAGCCAGGCAGTCACAGGGGGGCCCTTGGTCCCGGACTGCCCACGGGAAGGGGCGGGAGGCAGCCATACTTGTTGTCCGCGATGCTGTACACTTCAGCTGAACTGGTCAGCCCCGTGTCTGTGACCCCGGCGGCTACAAAAATGCGGCCATCGTGGATGGTGGCCCCGAAGAGGGAGCGCGCAGTCTGCATGGGGGCCAGCTCGGTCCACTCGAACTTCTTAGGGTCGTAGACACACAGCTTCTTCAGGCACTTTCTGGGGGTGGGGCACCGTGAGTGAGAGGGAGGAAGCCTGAGCACAGCGCCCCTCCTCCGGCTCAGTGGCTCCGGACGCCTTTCCGCGGCAGCCGGCACAAATCCCCGACCGCCTGGGGAAGACTGCGCTCCCGCTCTAACCTGCAGCCCTGCTCCTGCACTCGCTCCAGGCCCGAGCCTCACCTGTCGCTGCCTTTGCCGCCAAGGACGTAGACCAGGTCCATGTGGGAGAGCACCGCGTGGCCGTACACGGCATAAGGCAGCGGATCCGATTCGCCCCATTTGAACGACCTGGAGGAGACCGGAGTAGGGCGAGCGCGCCCGGTTCAGGAGTGCGCTGGGTCCCTGTCTCTGCATTCACCCACCCAGCCAGCACATATTCGGGGTGCACCCGGTGCATTAGCGGCACCTCTCGGATCCCGGCTCCCAACGGCGGCCCGCCGCTCCGCCCCTTCCCAAGCCCGCCTCCGCCCGCAGCCCCGGGCTCTGGCTCCGGCCCCCGCCGCGCCCCGCCCCCCGGCCCCCTCAACCCCGCCCCCCGGCCCCCGCTCACTGCCGGTCGTAGCACATGACCGAGTCTAGGCTGCGCTCGCCGTCCTTGAGCTCTCGGCCTCCGACCACGTAGATGGAGTTGAGAGCCTCTCCCAGGCCGAAGAGGCAGCGCGGCGAGGGCAGCGGCGGCATCCCCAGCCACTCGGAGTCCAGGTGGTCAAACTGCGGGCCCGGCGTGCAGTCAGCCACCGGCCCCCACGCCCCCACTCCCGCAGCCACCCCGGGTCACAGAGGAGGCCAGGCCTCCAGCTAGGGCCAACGCAGCCTGGAGGCCGTCCCTGGAGACAGTACCCTATCCTCCCACCGGGCTGAGAACAACCGGGGCCCTCCGGAGGTCGGCGCCCAGAGACCACATTACAGCACCACGATGGGGCACCCCACGCAGAGCCCTGTCCCTTCCCCACTACAACTTCGGAACTGAGGCCTGCCTGCCCTCTGTTTTGCACCGCAGGCCCACTGCACAGAAAACCTCCAAATACAGCTCTGCCCCTCATCCCTTAAAATCTACAGTGTAAGTCTGCGGCCCTGTCCCATCTCCATAGTCTTACAATGATATTTGTAGCTCATCTTTCTGGAAAGTTTTCTGAAGGCTGAGCAATGTGCTGATGAACACTTTATAACCATCTGTAACCTTCAAACAACCTTATCAAGCAGGAAGGATAATATCCCCAGAGAAAATAAGCAAGGCCCATGATATGCTTTGGCTGGTGGAGCTGCCCCCCTCCCTCCCTGCCCCCGGTTTAACTCTGGTACTGAGTTGCCCCTCACCCTTCTCCACACCTGGTCAGGCCTCACTGAGCTCACCACTCGCTAGGCTCATTCCAGTCTCTGTCTCTTGCTCACCATTCCTCAGGCAAAAACACCCTAACTTCCCCTTCAAGTGTCCAAATTCCACCCAGATGGCAGGACTCAAACCTACCTGGCCAGTCACCAGGGAACCATCTCTGCCCTCTGAGATCCCACGGGACACTACAACTTGGACTGGTCACCCCACTCTACTGGTCCTTTCTGGGCCTCGGTTTTCTCATCTGTACAGTGAGAAGACTAGGCAGGATGCTCCCTTTGTTTGGGACACTCTGTTCTAGACTCCAGTCCGGGCCTCACGCAAAGGTCCTGCCCCAGACTGACCCCTACACTGACCTTGCTCCTCCTTCTCACTGTGCCTGACCTCAATCCCTGTGCAGAGATAGGGCCTCCAACATATCAGACCTCCCTGGGGCTCACATCCCCCTGAAAGAGACATCAGAGTTATGCAGCTAATTGTCAACTGCCTATAACTGCCTTCAACCTTCAGGCAAGTGGCTGTCAGTCAACCTCCCTGGTCTACATCTCATCCTAAACCCAATAACACCCCCCAACAAGTAGACACAAGCCTCTCATGGGCCCCAAAGCTGACCCCCACCCCCACCCGCGATCCCAGAACCCGGCACTGGCTGCCCCTCCCAGGGCTGGGCAGGCACCTGCAAGAAGTAAGCACTCATGGGGTCCTCTTTGTTGTCCTCGTTGTAGAAGAGGCCCCCAGCCACAAAGACCTGGTTCTCCTTGGTCACGAGGCTGACGTGGTTCTTAGGGATCTGGGTGGAGAGCGAGGCACAGTAGCACTCGTTGGCCGCTGGGTCATAGGCCACGGCCCCCTCCTCACTGAGCATGAAGATGAGGTCCTGCAGGAACATGCCAAAGCGCAGAGTGTCATTGAGGATCCCGGGGATGATGCGTTCAGCCTCCTCCTCGTCGTCCCCTGCCTTGGCTTCGCCCGTGCCCTTGTCAGCAGCCTTGGCGCCGGCTGCCTCCTTCCCCTTGTCCTTCTTCTTCTTGCGCAGCACGGTGAGGCGGCCCTCGTGCGCGTCCTTCACCATCTGCACCTTGCGCAGCAGCTCGGGCTGGGCGCGCACGAGAGGGTGCTTCTCCACGCGGCTCTCCAGGAAGGCCGGCGGCAGCAGGCGGCAGCGCACGCTCTCGAAGACGGTGGGCAGCGCGCGCTGGCGCTCCTCCTGCGCCTTGGCGTCGCCGCTGCCCGCCCACCGCATCACCGCCTCGAACACGGCCTCCTCCTTCTCCACGTTGAGGCCGTCACTGGAGATGATGGCGATGAGCTCGTCGGCCGAGAGCCCGAGGAAGTCGGCGTCGCGCGCCACGAGCGAGAAGCGCGCGCAGATGAAGTCGCGGGCGGCCACGGCCAGGCGCGCGCAGTCGAGCAGGAGGCCGAGGCGGAAGACGGCCAGGCAGTTGGCGAGACACAGGCGCTTCTGTAGGAAGGACACGCAGATGGTGAAGATGGACGGGATCTGGAAGCGGTGCGCTGCGGCGAACAAGTCCTGCACGCTCGCCTCGTCCAGCGCGATCTCCGACGTGTACAAGTAGTGCAGCACCTGCGCCACCACGTCCGGGGACACCTCCTCCAGGCGCAGCTCGCCCGCGCGCTCAGGCTCGGCCAGAAAGCGCGCCCGGAAGTAGGGGCTGCAGGCGGCCAGCACCAGGCGGTGGCACGGGAACTCGCGCTCACCCACCCGCACCACACAGTCGAGGAACTTGCCGTGGTCCAGCATGTCCTTGAGCCCGTCCTGCAGGAGCGTCTGCTGGTACAGACGCTGCTCCTCCGCCTGCTCCAAGCCCAGCGTCATGGTGGGTGGCTTGGGGTGCCGCTGTCTTGCCAGGGGCCTCCTCTTTCTATTCCCCTGCTTTCCTTCTGGGTCACTCTCCGTCTACGCAGCTGTCATCGCGGGGCTATATATAGAGGTGGACAGGGCCCTGTAAGGCGAGCTGCCTGGCCTCCTGCACATGACGCAGAGGGGACAGCTGGGCAGAGGCCCCCTCCCAGAGCAGCCTTGACTCAGCCCCACGGGCTCATGGGACAGGGGTGGGGTATTTGGGCCTATGAGGGCCTTGCTGCCTCATTTCTAAATGGAGCACCACAAGGCCTCGACTACATTCCTTGGTCAGGCAGTGCCCGTGAGGGCAGGTGATGACCCAAGCTCTGCCCCTCAGGCCAGGGAGCGAGAAGCTTTGGTGTCCCTCTTCCAAGATCTCCCTTCGTTCATGCCTTCTGGGCCTTTCTGTCCGGGTGCTTCATCTTCCTCCCTGGAGTATATCTCACCCCAGCCACCCCTGGATACAGTGTGCTTGGGTTTCCTGTTCAGTGAACTTGGAAAGGCATTCACTCATTGGGGACCTTGTTGCCCTACCTTTAAAATGGGAAGACCTTTACCCCTTTCCACTCCAGATCTGAGACCCTCCTTAGACTGTGCAAGAAAGCAAGAAGGTGCCTTAGGTAAACACAGTCACCTCTTTTCTGAAGGGCCTGCACAGGTCACGTGGCTCTGTTGAGCTTCAGTTTCCCTTTCTACACAATGGGGAGTTGGATGAGTTAGATTCTAAGGGCCTCAGTTACAGTTCTGCTGAGGTTCAGAAGCACTGAGGCTCAGTGTTCCTGGGAGTACACTGTCACAGGGTTTTAACATTGTAAGGTGTCAGACGTGCTAGAAAAGTAATTTCCTAGGATTCAACTATTCTAGGTATTTAAATTCCCAGGGTTTTAACATTCTAGGGGAGTGACAGTCTGGATTCTAGTGTTCAAAAAGTAACACTCTAAGAGTTTAATATTCCAGGATAGCTGTCTATGCTCACTGTTCTTGGTCCATACTAAGCCTGACCTGAGGCTACCTTGGCCTTGGGGCCCTTGCACCCTGTCTACCATCTAAGGGGTGTCGGGGTAGAGGTCCAGGATAGCCAGTCCTGATGCCCAGCCTTCTCTGGACTTTCACCCTTCCCCCACTACACACACACACACACACACACACACACACACACATTCAGCCTCAGCCACCAAGATTAACTTGTTCCCAAAGTGCCAGAAGCTACAGCTGTGGGTTAAATTTAGCCCCCAGGACACTAGTGTGAACTGTTATGGGGCATTCTCCCATCATTCCTCTGAGTCACTTGTTTATAACCTCAGGCTTGAGGGGCGGAGGGATTGGAGAGGGGGCCTCAGGATGGGCCAGGGCTGAGTTACCTCCCCTTTTGTGATCTCAGAGATGTCACTGCCCATCCCTGAGCAGTGCCTTCAACCATCGTTTGCACACCGCACCAGCAGGTCTTAGAGGGGCATGCAGCCAGGCAGGTCCTGGAGGTGGTCCTGTCCCTCTTGCGGAAGGGGTGAAGTCTCATCCCAGGGCTTCCAGCCTAGCCCCCAGTGCAGGGCATTTCCAACAGGCACCATCAGTGAGGAGATCAGGCTCTGAGGGGCTGTGCAACTTGGGCAGGTCACATAGCTGGCAAGTGGCTGAGCCTGGATTCAAAGCAGATCTGCTCACCTCCACAGACTATGGGAATCCCTCCCTACCATACTGCTTCCCACAAATTAACGACAAGAAAATTAGTGGTAGCTTCATTTTCCAAAGACCAGGACAGAAAGTACATATGGAACAATTATGTTTATCAAATGACTCAATGACATATTTTTAGATTATGATGAATCCCATAGTGCTCACTCCCTCCCAGGCATTCCACTAGCTTATTTATATGTAGCTCATTCATTCATCGAGAACCCACTGTGCACTCTGTTCAGTGCTGAGGATTCAACAGTGAACACATCAGGCAGGAATTCCTGTCTTTATGGAACTTAGGTTCAGCCAAAGTGGTGGTGGGGGGGGCAGCAACAAGTAGTTATACAAGATGTCAGATGATAATAACTGCTAAGTGACAAGTAGCAGAGAAGGGGGCATGGAAAGGGACAGGTGGTGGTGGTAATAATTTTAGTGGAACAGTCAGGCTGTACTCACTGAGAGGACTCTATTTGAGCAGGTTCAAATGTGAGAAGTGCAAAGGCCCTGAGGCAGGAGCGCATCTGGCAGGTTCCAAAAACAGGGAGGAAGCTGGTGGGGCTGGAACAATGAATGAGGAGGTGAGTAGGAGGAGATAAGGGCAGAGGGGTAAGGGTGGGGGAATCATGTAGGGCCACGTGGGCCAGTTTTTCCCTTCAGTGAAATGGGGAGCCACTGTTTATTTTTTAATTATAGTTATGGGAAATGCAAATATATCCACAAGTAGAATAATATGCCAATTTCCCATGTACCCACCTCCCCATTTCAGCAACTATCTAGTCACTGGGTCATGGCCGATCCTGTTTCACCTCTGCCCCCAGCCACTCCGGTAGTCACCCAGGGAGCCGGCCAGGGATTGGACGTGGGTACAGGAGAGAGAGGGACAGAGCATGACTGCATGGCTTTCAGTCGAATCAAGGGAGAATGTCATCTCACTTCATCCTTTTAATTTTTACTCATTTATTTTTTTTTTAAAGATTATTTATTTGAAAGAGAGAGAGCACACAAGCAGGGGGAGAGGCAAAGGGAGAGGGAGAAGCAGGCTCCCCGCTGAGCAGGAAGCCCGCTGTGGAGGCTCCATCCCAGGACCCCGAGATCACCACCTGAGCCAAAGGCAGATGCTTTACTGATTGAGCCAGCCAGGCGCCCCTAATTTTTACTCATTTAATCTTACCCAAAATTATGAGGTAGTTATTATTTACACCCTTTTACAGAAACTGAAATTTAGATGGCCAGCAAATAGGGATCAGTCTTATGTTTTTGTTTTTGTTTTTTTAAACAGCCTTGTTAGGCATAAGTGACATACAATGAACGGCACATATTTAAAGTGTACAATTTGACAAGTTTTTTTAAAAGATTTTATTTATTTACTTATTTGAGAGAGAGAGCACATGAGCATGAGATAGAGATAGAGAGCATGATGGCCGTGGGGGGGACCACAGAGCAAGGAGAAGCAGGCTCCCCACTGAGCAGGGAGCCCAACGATGCGGGGCTCGATCCCAGGACCCTGGGTTGTGACCCGAGCCGAAGGCAGAAACTTAACCAACTAAGCCACCCAAGTACCCCACAATTTGATAAGTTTTGAGATATATATATATATATATATATACACCCATGAAACCAGCACCACAATCA